AGATGTGTGATTGATAATATGATGAACTCTCTCTCTCTTTTCTCTCTCCTCTCTCTCTCTCTCTCTCTCATAAGGGTAAATCACTTTAAACTTATTTGAAAATTTTCTTTTAAGCTCTTGATTTTCTAAAAAAGAAATCTAATATATAATTAAATAGATTCCTTATGGGACAATGCGAATTGTATAAACTTGATGTATGTAATTTTATATAGTAATGTTTACATTTGCTGCGTTTTACTGGTAAGCCAACTGTGGAGTTGACTTGAATACCATTTTTGTATGTTTACATTTGCAAATGTTTTCCTTTATATAACACTACTGAAAGCAATGCATATCTATATAATCAGTATAAATACAGGTTCCTCGAACGTCATAAACGTTCGACGTAATTTCTCTGTGACGTCATAAAGATTCAACTTATCCAAATAATGGATAACATACATGCCGTTTGGTTTAACAAATAAAATAATGCACGTGTTAAAAGTCATAATCAGGCAACTATACAATATAAATGTCACAAATGTAAATATAAGTACAATGTAAGGTATCATTTTAAAACATCTAAAATCGGGCTATATCAAATTCATCATAAAGCCCCTCGGGCTTTATAGATATTTAAAAATGATACCTTATTTCTTAAATATACCCATGCGTAGAAATATACACGGAGTTAAACTCGCGCTAACGTGACGTCACAATGAGGCTACAGAGATGTTAGTAAAAATATAACGATAAATTCAAACATTTAGTATATCTTTGTTGCTTTTAGACACGTAAAATGTAAATATAACAAATGTTTACAAGTTTAGTGTGAATTATAGGTGTGTAAATCACACAAACTTGCACGTAGGCATACTTTCATGAAACGCTAAATAATGGACATCTTACAGAATAAGAAACATTTACCCGAATGAACACTTTTTCCTTTATAAGAGGTTCAAATTACCAATATTATCGAAACTTGAGGGAAAAAATATTCAAATATTTCCTCTTGTCTTTCAAGAGCCGGATAGATAAATCATTAACATGAAAAAATAATCAACTACCTTGTTCCAGTATTCAGATTCTTTTCAAATCAATATCTTCGACATTACTCATTTCATCTAGAGTTCTGATAAAATTTTTTGAGTGGCAATAATATTTGATATAATTTTTCATAAATGTATGTGTTGTCCCTATTGTTCAAGGCAGAATAATTACTATCTTCAGTAGTAATTTTAATGCAAGTCAATCCTCCCAAATAATACGTAATATACATAGCGATAGATGAACTTTATGGTATACCTGTGTGTACATAACGTTTTAGTTTAATTTCTCTTTTGTTGAAAATACATATAATTGAACAAATTATTGAAATTCTTCATTTGCAATTTGATTTCTCTTTAAAAAAAAAACTGGAATCTCAAACACAAGAAAATGTGACTGGGAAATGATAAAGCATTTCTGAGCACGTTGGCAACATTATGCAAAGCAGGTAACTAATTGTTTGATTGTTTGTTTTTTATGACACTTACTGGGTAAATGCCTTTAATTAATTCATATAAATGAGTTGCTCAGATAGCATGAAATTCATTGCGCGCGTCATTACCATTGATTGATTATTGGTTAATTATTTATAAAAATTAAAATCGCTTGAACAAGTTTTTAACGGAAGAAATGGTCTTCAGAAAAAATGCAATGTAAAATTTGGAATTAGAAAGGTGAAGATAAAGAACTGTAATCAGTCTCGTTTAAAGTCATCATTTGACAAGTTCTATGGTCGATACAATGACCTTGTTAGCAAGTACAATTTATGTCAGTCAAATGCTGACTGACGTTTTTCATAATTTCCGAATCCTGAAAAGAAGCACATCGCGGATGTGACCGGTCGACAGGTGATGCTCACTCCTCCATGGCACCTGATTCCACCTCTGATGTTTTGGAGGTCCGTGTTTGCTTTTCTCCTATTTTGTATTGTTTTATGTACTTTGATATTGAATACTGTTCGTTATCTCCATATCCTTCATCAATCTAATAAAAAAACTACTATAAATACAAAAACGGTATACGGAGCAAAATGAAGGACCCCCGGAAAATTTAGGTGCCTGGGAGGAGTAAGCATCTCCTGTAAGCCGGTCAAATCTATATGTATTGAGTATTCGTTGCCAGTTTTAGTACAAAAACAAATGCCTAACAATTGGTATAAAACAATGAAAGATATGGAGATAATGAACAGTATTCAAGATCAAAAATCTATAAAACAATACAAATTAGGAGCAGAGCAAAAACACAAAGTCGACCCAGTTAAATGAAATATATGGCGATAACGAACAACATTCAAGCTCAAAAGTCCATCAAACGATACGAGCAGACAAAACACGGGCCTCCAAAACATCAGAGTTGGGATCAGATGCCATGGAGGGGTGAGCATCCGCTGCCGATCCGCTGCCGATCGGTCACACCCGCCGTGTGCTCCTTGTCATGATTGCAGAAAAATCCGTCGTCAATTCAGTGTATAAATAATGGACTAACAATCAGTATGAAAAATACGTCAGTTATCATTTGACTAAATGATAAATTGTCCTTGCTGAAAAGATCATTGTATCGACCATTGAACTTACAAAATGATGACTTACAACGAGACAGCTGATATTCTTGTTTCATCGACTTGTTTGCCAATAATTTACCTCGTTTTAGAAATTGTTCATAAGTAGAGCATGCTCTAGCGTATCGAATGAAATAAGATATATATAAACTCCGTATGCAAATGATGAATGTGTATTGCAGCATAAGGAAGAGAAGTTGACGATTGAAAAATTAACAAATAAGTTACCTAAATACGCTTCAAGTGAAAGGTTACAATGGCTAAAAAATCAATATAACACAGACCTATTAAAGTACATGTAGGTCTTTGATTAGAACAAGCATACGAGTCATTATACAAAATGCTGAAATTAAAGAGATTAAAGAAATTCCTGTAATAACTTTTTGAGTGAGTACCCTGCCTCGGTTTTGATAGTACTTAGAACAGGTCTTTGAGTAGCAAATAAGTTAAGAGACATATATACATTATGAAAGTGAAGGCGGAATATTGCTATATATATAAAGTTGACGATGGAAAAGCTCAAGTCATATCGTTTGTCATGCAATTTAGCTGCATATTTCTTGTCCTCTGTAGTATAACATTCAAATATGAAAAAAATGTGGCTGATTTTGTGGTACCTTGTATTTCAAATTCCAGGGAAAATATCGAGTTTACAAATAAACAGAAATAACTGTAGTTAATTGATAAAACGTCGTTGAAACAGTTTGGACAAATCACATTCAGGGAAAGAAAATTCATGCCGGGTTTATATCTCTATGTTGATTTGAGACGCGAGAATATGCTCTACGAATAAACAATTTTTAAAACGAGGTAAGGTACTTACAAACAAGTTGCTGAAAGAAGAATACCACAACTCTCTTTCAAGGTCATTAATTCCTAGGTTCTATGGTCGATACAATGACCTGGTCAGCGAATTCAATTTCAACATTAAGTCCAATGCTGACTGACGTTTTTCATGCTTATGGCTTGGAAATTATTTACACACTGAATAGTCCACAGATTTATCCTTTATTTCCCAATAATGACAAGGAGCACAAGGTGGGTGTCACCGGATGGCAGGGGATGCTCATTCCCCCATGGCACCTGATCCCACCTTTGATGTTTTGGAGGTCTGTGTTTGCTCTGCTCGTTTTGTTTGTTGGACTTTTGATCTTGAATGTTGTTTGTTATCGCCATATACTTCATTTAATTTGATTGAGTTTGGGTAGTAATAGAAATTTTAATTTTAAAAAAAAACGTTAAAGAGGGAAAAAGATGTATCGCACACATATTTGGATATGGGACATGCCATTTAAAATAATCAAGAAATTTATAAACATTCAGAATCATGCATTTTTAGGAAAAGCAATAAAAACTATCCAGAAAATAATCATTACTTTTTCATCTAAACTTTAATTAAATTATGTTATACATGTCATGATTTTTCATAGTTAATGATTAATTAATTATAATTGAAATATATAATTCTTACATATTTAGTGATAATAATTGATAAATTTGTAGAAAAGTAATCAAAAACAGCTGAAAACATAGCTAATCATTACTGTTAATCTGGTGAGAAAGGTGTTGGAAATAACACAATCGCCGCTCGACAAAAAAGATGTCGCCACGTGACAATCATTACAGGGAGAATCACATGTTTATTAAAAAAAACTTACCACCGACTACTATGCATATACTAGTTGGGGAAAAAACCAAATATCGGTAGTACTTCGATAGTCTTGTGACTTCCTTCATTAAGTATTCAGACCAAAAACATTTGCTGGTACATATAGGGGAATAAGGACCAGTTCATGCACAGCAGGTCTTACGGCGATTTATATATGAATGAAATAAAGTAATATTCGAAAACTATTGCACTGTGATCAACCTTAATATAAGATCCGGGGACTAGTAAGTTTAATCAAGGTCTGTTTCCATCTATAATGAAATTCCTTACTTCTTATGAATTACAATGCCTCTTCCTATCTTGCTGTTTTCTGACTGTACTGTGTGGATTTAATCACCGAGTTTTACCGGCCTGTAGTAAAACCAAGGATGTCTGTAAATTTGAGTTTGACGTTCGGTACAAATTCTCCATGGTGCATTATTTTAACGGATACGCCGCTCCTATTGTTCTAAGGAACGGAACGTTACTGAAGAGAGGGGTGTATGACAGCAAAAAGTTCGACCCTCTTACCCCTAAAGGTAAATATCTCCTCTCTCTCTCTCTCTCTCTCTCTCCATGTTTCAACCCTTTTTTTAACTTCTGTTAAAATTATCAATATGAATTTTCAGTTTTAATTAAAAAAAACAAGCAATGAGTAATATTTGGGATAAGAAAACACAAACTATATTTTGTTAATATCGTGATAATAGCAATTAATTCTACAAGTATGTATATAAATGAAAATGAATCAGACAATTTCATTTTCATTTTTTTATTGAAAGCCTTTTTTCAAAATTCAACTGTACAGTTTTAGAGAGATATGTAGATATATAATGAAAATTTTGAGCATCAAACAAGGTTTTTTCTTTCATAGTTCCACTATATTTTTATTTTAACTTGTGTTCTGGATCAAAAGTTTATAGTCTTTGACCTAATAAAATATCTATAATCATGTCATTTGCTCATAAAGATTACAAACCTTGATAGTTGTTCTTAAATTTAATACAGTACTAAGAATATTTGTTTCAGGGACCTAAAATATCAAAGTTATCTGTTAAAATATAAACCTTGATTATTTTTCTTAAATTTTATACAATACTTATAACATTTGTTTCAGGGACCTAAAATATAAAAGTTACCTGTTAAAAATACAAACCTTGATTATTTTTCTTAAAATGCTTATACAATACTAATAATATTTGTGTCAGGGACTCTTCTGACCGTTTTCAAGCCATCTAAGATTAGCAGCCATAAAACGATTAATTCTCACCTTGTCTTTTGGTCAGGGTTATAAACCTGCCAATCATCAGGAATATTCGGTTTGTAAAAAAAAAACTAATAATGTATAAATCAAATTAACGTGTCATATGTCGGTCGAAGATGCATGTGTTTTTATCTTCCGATTTGTCGTGCAGCATGGTATATCCGCAAGTGAATTATTCATGCTACACGTACAGTGTACGACCACTTGCATGAGTATTCGACCTGGATGATTTTCAGTCTATAAGATGTACGAACCCCTCTATTTTGTCCTTTTTAAAAATGCATGATTTTATTTCTTTTTTTTTAATCTATATATAACAAATATTCGTCAGATACAAATTATTTTATTTCTTTTAAAAAAATAATTTTTGTAGAAAAAAATATGCAGGATGAGGATAATTTTTTATATAATGTTTTGAGAGACGTGTTTTCCCTTTTAAGCAAAAGAACTTTATATAAATAAAGTAGACCTATTCTTGAGTTGTTGAGAATTCTTAAGAAGCATTTGTGGCAATCATCCCCGTTGATTTGTTGCTGATCAATTATAGAACATAAACTTTTATTAAAAAGTGCACTGAGAACGAATTTACTCCAATTTCAATAAATTTGTTTACTATACACTGTACATGTACACTGTACATGTATGAGGATATTCAGATTTTTTTAAAAATTAAAATTAAATTTCAATAAATGAAAAAAAAAAATTAAAATGATTATATTTTGAATGTATAAATAAAAAATAGTAAAACCTAACGACATTTATTTGCGATATATGATAGTGTTGTATATTCCTGCCATTTTTATATCTATCATGAAATATTCATATCGCAATATTTATTATATTTCCCCACTTATCTTTATAATGGGGGAGCATATTAATTGATTGTTTTATGTCTTCTTCACAGATTTGTATTTTTAATTGATTTTTGTTAGATAGATCACTGTTCTTATTTTTTACCCTTATAATTGAATATTTTTTTTTATTTAAAAAGATTCGGTTTTTTTCTCTCAGAATTAAAAAAAGGTAAAATTTCAAATACTATCCTGCTTTAAGAACCTTGTAAGTAGAACAATTCCTACATGTAGAAAGATATATAATATGATAAAAAAAGTATATTTTTATATCAAATCTATAAAGATCTCAACATTATTACGAAGTAACATGTAGATTTCCGCGTATATCCAGAAATAATTGGTAAATGTAACTGTATAATAATTGTTTATTTGTTATGATTAAAGGAATGGGTTGGGTATATTATTGTTACAATTTATGATTGCTTGAATTTTTTCCACACAGGCGTAAACTAATGTATTCTAAATGCGGTTTCAAACATTTATGGAGGAGTAAACAAAATTATTATAAAAAGAATCGTTTGTATCAAAGCAAAACCTTTTCCTAGCATTAAACTAGACTGTTTTTTTATACCTCCCGCTTGACAAGCGAGACGGTACATGTATATAGTAATGGGGATGTCCGTCTGTACGTCCGGCCGTCTGTTATGCTTTGGGGTAACCATCTCTTATCCGCAACTCCTCTCATACCACTGCATGAAAGAACAAGGTTCACTTTTGCTTTATTTAACCCTGTGAATTTCTGAAAAACTGAACCTGCATAGTTTTTGTTTAACAGTGCATTGAATAATCACTTAGATCTTTAATGACTGAGTATCTATAAAAATGACGTCAATTTCTGTCTAGTCAATGCATTATGACGTCACAAAATGCGTCAATTTCCTTATATTCTGAAAAAGTCTACAAAACGGTCAATTTTTAAAGCTATTTTTCGATATTTTATGTGGAGCGCAACCTCTGATCTAAAATATGCAACTACTAAAATATAGAACTGTTTCTGTGGATTAAAAGACATGTTTTATTTTTTATATCAGAGAGTGCGCTGATACTATTTTTCTTCACTGAAAGTATTCAATTGTACCTGTTTACCATAAAATTCAATAACATTGCAATTTCATAAAGCCAATTCTCCAAGACCTGGTCTTTTAGGAGAAAAATTTTAATAGGAAATTAAAGCATCAAGTCTCTATTATATTTTAATGCCTCAAATGGAAAATCAAGTGTTAATCAATCAGTATCTACAGGTCCATTTTTTGCATAAAGTGAACCGAGCTCTTTGGTGAAACTTTCACAGAATCCTAATAGCCATTGTGCACCTCCTATTTTACTTTTTGATCCGACACATATTTGGGTTTCCCATAGCAAAACATGGATTCTGCCAAAAAATTCATATAGGAGGCGGGGGTCTCATTTAGTGAACTCATTGTTCACAATACGTAGTTTCATTCCAGATAATGTCTCTAATCAAAGTACTAATATCTTTTATACGTAAGATTTTTTGACCATTGTAATCGTATGTGAGCATAAAAGAAAATGATACAAATTTATCATTTCAGTTAATCACTATTACCTTTCAAAGTTATAACTATAGTATATCAAAGTTTTCCTAGTAATCAATATAATAAATCAAAGCTTTCATAGTAATCATTGAACTAAGTAAAGTTTTTATAGTGATCATTAGAGTAACTCAAAGTTTTCATACTTATCACTATATAAAATATATTAAAGTTTTCAAATATCACTTTAATAGCAAATTACAGCTTTCATAGTTACCACTTAAGTAGATAAAAATTTTCATATTAATCACTAAACTAAATCAAAGTTTTCATAGTTATCACTATAGTATAACAAATCTTTCATAGTTATTGTTAAATAGTTATTGCTAAAGTTAATCAAAGTATTTATAGTTGTCATTATAGAAAATGAAAGCTTTTTCTTATCACTACATGTATAGAAAATCAAAGCTGTTTTAGTTATCACTAATAAAATCTATCAATGTCTACACTATAGTAAATAAAAGTTTCAAAGTTAGCCACTTAGTTTTTAAAAGTACTACACATAAAAACATTTAGTTTTAAATTAATATTCTAATGCAATTATTTTGTAAAACATGTTTTGATTGGCTAATGCACTGAAGTTGAAGCAGTAAAACGAGCATTAACGAGCGTGAAAGCTTTTTCATTGTGACGTCATAATAGAGCGACGCAAAAACACAACGCTCCGTGAAGTAAAAAATTCAACAAAATAAGACGTATACAACAAACAAAATGCATGGATTGCATTAGAATGGGAATAACTGATAACCGGTAAAACTCAGTTTGCGACCGTTAAATCAGCCATATATAAGAATTATATAATAAATCGTTTATTCCTGATACTGTAAGAAAGTGGAATTCATACAAGAATTAGACAAAATTGTATTTTAAATTCTGTCCTTATACCGCTGTAACCTAATATCCAGTCCTAATTGTTCTTGTGGACTACTAGACGACGCATATCATTTGTTTATTATGTAAAAGCAAGAAATTCCTTAATGAGTAAGCTATTGTCATTTAATCATAAGTGTGTTACATGTATAACACATTTATGTTATACACTTGTAGATGTACAAGTAATGCTATGGAATGACGATTCTCTTACTAATACACAAAATGCTGAACTTTTCAAGATTATTAAAACTTTCTGAAATGAATGTGGAAGTTTTGAAAACTAAGCTTCTTTTTTTTTTTTTTTTACAAAATCAAATTAGATTTGTACATTAAAGGAAGATTTTTTTTTCTTTCTATTACTACTATGCATAATTATATAGACCATGTGTATGTTTGTACGAGGGAGTATCAAAAGGTTCCTGAACTAGCGCCATAGAATTAAAACCGCTTTAGGTACATCAAAGAATTTTAAAATAACCACTTAGCATAATCTTTTCTATCTATAGAATAAACCACAAATCATAAAATGTCTTTTTTATTTTAAAATAATTCGGCAAATAATGAACGTATATGTATCAAGGTAAAATTTTCAACATTTCTTCATCTTTTTGTTGTTTAATGTTCCTTATAAATTTTGAAAGCACAGTCTATATAATACTAATTTCACCTCTCGTATGCATGTATTTTATTTTGGCAATTGTACAAAATATTGTTTTAAGAGAAAACTACCTAAGTTTTTGACCTTGGGTCTGATCCTTTTGACACTGTCAATAAAATATACTCAATTCTATTCAAACACAAACAAAAAGTCATTTAAAGTTGCAATGACCACACAAGAATTTTAATACGTATTTAAAAGTAATGTGTTTTCGTGTTTTTTTTTAAAGAACTGAATGAAATTTTGACTGTCGATGGTGTCTATAAACTTTTGTATAGCATAAATGGAGAATTCCCGGCACCTCCTATAGTAGTATACGAAGGGCAAGTGGTAAGTTAAAAACATATATGTTTGATTATACTATAGCTTTAAAATGTTTTTGAATACAAGACATGGTACATTAAGTATTTAAAACATTTTTTTCAACAAATTTTTCTTCCAAAAGTCAAATATCCATGTTTGAAAAGGTATATATCTTCTAAATAAGTGATGTTCACTTTTACATTTTAAATTTGACCAAGCCACGCAATCTGGCAAAAAGTCATACCTGTATATATATAATATATTTCAGGTATGATGTTACATGTATTCTGCATAATATTTCTGATTTTTTTTTCAAATTTAAACTTTTAATTACCGTAATTTGATTCCTTACTGAAAGAAATATTTAAAAGAATCTGTAGCTACAAACTGTATAGGAGAAATGAAAATTTGCTTGTCGTATATGTCTTTATCAGCGGGTTATCAAATCATATTAACATTAATTAAGTTGTATACAAAATAATTCAAATTAATGATATTTACCTTGCCTTCCGTATATATATATATTTATTTTGTATTATCTTCACCCGGTAACAGATCGAAGTCATGGTGAAGAACAGTTTGATTAATGAAGGGTTCACAATTCACTGGCACGGAATGACGCAGAAAAACACGCCTTGGATGGATGGTGTTGCCATGGTAACCCAGTGTCCAATTAACCCTGGCAACTCATTTTTGTACAGGTGCATATCTATGTCAGAGATATCAAGCCATTTACTAAAACTAGCTTATTGTCTAGTTGTATTTTTCTATGAAAATTGATGCCATGTATATTAACGATGCTAATTTCAAGGTTAAATCATTATAGTCTCAAAAAAAAAAATTACAAAATAAATGAACACTCCTTTCTGATCAACATAGATATGGAAAATGATCAATAGTATCATAATATTCAATCTTTCCTCTATGTACCATTAGATATTTAGCAAATTTCATTGAAGTTTTGAAAATGTTAGGTTTAAGGCTGAACCACGTGGCACCCATTGGTACCACGCCCATCAAGGTACCATGAGGACTGACGGACTGGCTGGTCCCTTAATTGTCCTCCCACATGAGGAGCGGTTAGACATACCGGAAGTGGAGGACGACTTTATTCTGATGATCCAGGATTGGAACAGGAACACTTCATCCACAGAAAGTAGTGAAATCCAACTTTCAAACATGCACGTGTAAGTAAAAGTAATCTTATTTTTAGGATCAATAAATTCATTACTTCAAATTATCTTCCAAATATATATACTAGATGTAACTTTGGATATTTAGGAAAGAAACAAAAATCTTCTTTTTTTATGTTTTCCCCAGATAGATAAAGATTTTTTTAAATAACTGTTTGTAAATGTTGCATTATGTTGAATTATTTATTTTGCTATTTAATTATCTTTAGAAACTACAATAATTTTCTAATTCTGTAATTTATTTGTAATTATTTTTTTTTCTTTGTCACAGATACATTAATGATTTTAATTGCACAAATAACTGCTTTGAACCCTTTAAAAACTGACGCACACGGCAGACGTCTTACCCTATCGTAACACTTAAAATTTAATTTTATCGGAGTTATACCTTTCACTGATGTAGAAAAAATATTCTCATTGGTATCAAAGCCTCATTAATGGAAACTAGACAGACGTAAAAGAGGAAAACTAGAAACGCACACTATATTTATAAACACAATGAGATGATGTATTATAGAAACGCACAAATTAGGAGGGTGTGTTTGTGGTGTGATATAAACATATAAATCTATCACCAGATCAGTATATGGAAATAGCTGCGTAAAAATGTGGTTTAAAACGTCAGTAAACTTGGACTGAAGAAATGGAAATACTGAAGAGCAAGATTACTGTTTATGACATAGATTTTGCAAGAGCATACTTTAAATGAGATTGTTTATACCCTTGTAATATCACCTTATATGTCAGAAACCTGTCTCGGTTTAAAAATTGCTTGAAGGCAGAGCATTCTTTTGTGTATAGAATCAAATGGAAGACATGTAATATTTGTATGACCCCATTTGATTCAATAAGAAGAGCAGGTGATAATGACTATGGTATATTGATACTTATTTTTTTAAGGGAAGTTATCGTTAAAAAAAATTGTTGTTTTCATCCCCACTTTATTCAATTTTGTTTGTCACAATTGTTTTGGAAAATGATGTGGGTTCAAATTGTAGTGTCTTTTCTTAACCTCGACTATATTCAACCTTTTACTTATATCTTTTAAACAAAGATTATAGCCCATAAGAATTGAATGCTGTTAAATATTCTTTCGCCGCAGGACTAGATTGATCTTCATTCTTTTTCACTCTGAGGGAGCATTGAGTGAAATCTCATTAATTTTAATTGTTTACTTATACCTAAGTCTCCTATCACATGCATAGATCTGTTCTTCATTTTCATTATTATCAAGTTTCTTGTTTAGTATTTAATATGTTATGTTTTCAATCGGGCTTTGATAACAAGTTTCCTTGTTCAAAAATAAAATACGTGGTACTGTATTTGATTGAATCTACTTCAAGTTTTAAGTTGGTTGTTAGGTCTTTTCATTATGTTCATCAAAGTTTTCTTAAACATATATAGAACATGGGGGTAAGAAATACTTCAAAGAGATTTACGTACATATTTTTTACAGGTCATTTTTATCCACATCATTCATATAAACCATTATCTCCGGAACTTCCCTTAGAGACATATAAGGTAAAACCCGACAAATACTACCGCTTCCGGGTCATCAACAGTGCCATGATGTTCACTTTCCGGTTCTCGGTAGACGAGGTATTCTTTTTTTTCAATTAATTATGAGTCTTTCTTCCATTATATTGACATAAATTTATGACAAAACCAATGAAGTTTCTTTCTAAGTAATTTATCTAACGGTAGAAAAAAAAAGGATCCTATTAGAGCAATCGCTTCGCATTTTTTTTTTGGAGAAAAAAGAGAATTACTTTAAAAAGAATTTTATTTTCATAATTTGATTTCATAATAATTATACTATATATGCATTTTACTATTTGACATACATTTATATTTCTGTTTCAAATATGTAATTCAAATGTAAATTGTAGCACTTGATCCATGTTATTTCCACCGACGGAAATGACGTAGAGATGGAAACTGCGCAGTCAGTAATCATTTCCACCGGTGAAAGCTTTGACATCTTGGTAAAAACGGACGGGAACCCGAAAAGGAACTATTACATTCGAGCAGAAACAACAGAAGTGAAAAGCAAACAAAACGTAATTTATGATCAACTTTAACAACAAAACAGTTTTTGTAGTTTCATCTGCCGACCCTGGTTTTTAAAAATAAATTTTGAATTCAGCTATGAGCAATATATGAGAAAAAACAGATTTGAATACCAGTCAAAATCAAGCAAACTACTAATGAGAGCCAGGGGCGACTTTCTGGAATATAGAATATTTGAACACCATCAAAGACCAGACTAAATGGTTACCCCATTATTGACTAATTTACCATCCTACAAGCGTTGTTTTGCATAATTATCTACTTCTTTTTTTAACTGTTTCATTTTATGAATTACTTATAGGACAAAATATATCCCGGAAGGGCTTTGGCTATACTGAGATACGAAGATGCACCCATGGATTTGCCAAAAACCACACGCCATAAATGTTCTAAAGAGAGAATGTGTAAAGTCCTCAACTGTCCTTTCCAGTAAGTGGTTAACAAGTTCATATTAATTCTTGTTTTTAATATCGATTAAAATCAAAGAAAGTCCTCCCTGTAATAATATATGCAGTGATAAAATACAACAGCCACGTGATTACTATAGATGTACATGTATTAAACCATACCTCTATGTTTGAGCAAAAACATTCAATGCTTTGAGCTATAATCTGTAATTGTATGTTTTTATAATATCCTTAATTTTAGAGGAAAAATTTAAGAATTGAAACTGTACATGTATTAAAATGTCAATTGTTTGGATTTTATTTTTTTTCAAAGACTGTACCCTGCTGATGCTCATATCCTGTGCATGTCAGCTGCTGACTTCCGCTCTACATCGGAAATGGTTAGCAAACATCCGGTTCCACTGCCTCCAAGGGGCGAGAAAATGCGGGAGGACTTCCTAAACTTTCACTTTTCTGGCATGTTATAATTGTATAATATGCCTTTTTAAATTTAGCCTACCATGTGTAAGATAAAAAAATACCACGGGCATTGAAAACGGATATATTGCTAATATATAAGCGAAGTTAAACCGGAAACCATGGGCAAACGTCAGGCAACGCATGCGCGAGAATGCTAGCGAGTTCGCTCCTAATACAACTTGCCCGTAGAATAAGAATGCCCATTCGAATTAGAATATTCCATTCATTGGCAAATTTCGCCTTTAAACCTGCATATCGTATTCATATATTCATTAGCGGATCCGAATTTCTCTCTTACACATATACCTTTATATACAAACTAAACACTGATTCTATGATACAAGCATTTAAAAAGTAGAAAGAACTTGCAATAAAAACTTCATTCAGCGACTAGTTCTAGCTTTTAAAAAATAAAACAAATCTTCACAGGCATAAAAAAAAAAGTTTTGAGCATCAAGGCTCGCAAAATAATTTGATATAAAGCAATCCAAATACAGCTTGATAGAAGCCTGTAATATAGTATTATAGGTTTTCCATAAGGGGGGAGGGCTCCGAAAAAAAAAAATCTGCGTTTTACAGAGTTGTGCTACACGTGTACGAACAGGTCTAATTTTCCAATGAAGGATATGGAGATAATGAAACAGTATTCAATATCGAAGTCCATAAAACAATACAAAATAGGAGCAGAGCAAACACGGACCTCCGAAACATCAGAAGTGAGATCAGGTGCCATGGAGGAGTAAGCATCCCCTGCTGACCTGTCACACCCGCCGTGCGCTTCTTGTCATGATCGGAAAATAACGAAAAAATCCGTCGTCAATTCAGTGTATAAGTAATGGACTAACAATCACTATGAAAAACGTTAGTCAACATTTGACTCAATGATAAATTGTATTTGCTGACAAGGTCATTGTATCGACCAAAGAACTTGCGAAATGATGAATTTAAACAAGACTGCTGATATTCTTGTTTCATCAATCTGTTTGTCAATAATTTACCTCGTTTTAGAAATTGTTCATGCGTAGAGCATGCTCTTGCGTATCGAATCAACTGAGATATATAAACTCCGTATGCAGGTGATGAAGGTATATTGCTGCATAAGTAAGGGAAGATGACGATAGAAAAGTTAAAGTCATCATGTTTATCATAGAGCTCGGTTGTTAGATTACCATTAACGTCTTTTTCAACTAAAATATCCAAGTATTAACAGATGTGTCTGACTCTGCGGTATCTTTTATCTCAAGCTCACCAGGATATATCGTATCGAAATAGGAATAGAAATTACCAGTGATAATTAACAATGCGTCGTCGATATATCTAAATATTGAGTTGAAGGCCACAGCAAGTGTTTTCTTCTTTTCACGCATAAGATTTTGCACAAATTCTGCTTCATATGAATACAAAAATAGGTCTGCTAATAACGGAACGTAATTGGTACCCATGGGAATTCCAATAGATTGTTGTCTCCAAAAGCCACATAGATCTTGTCAATCAGAAACTCAAGCTTTTGATGTCAACTTCAGAGTACTTGTATGTGCAATCAGAATGTGTTTCAACAAAGTAATTTTGCAAATGACCAATGATCAAGTAAGTAAATTTACTAAATCATCGTATTCACCTCAAAAACAACAATAATTGTAATGCTATAATATTTGCACCCCCGGTTTTTTTCCTTCTGGATATTAGGCGCACATGTATATTCAGGCTTCAACATTTTTTTTCCAATGTCCTTTTTATTTATGATTTCTAAGCAAATGAATTGAAATCAAAATGAAATAAAAATTATCACATTGTTTATAATGGATTGTCGAAAATGTCGATTCAAATGTGTGCGCTCTCGACAAAAATAAATGCATTTTAATAATAGTCTTCTCCGTCATACCTCCTTGTTTTCAAAGTAAAATTACAGAATTTTTTGCTCAAAATAAGGTTCGTTTATTGATTAAGCTCGGTAAAATAGGAAGGATTAAGGAAGATTTGCCCTCGGGATCAATACTACACACTGTCCTTTACCTGTGGGGCAATATCCGTACCCACCCTTACATAAAATACTATAGTTAACTATAGTTAACTATAGTTACTATAGATTACTATAGTACATCAAAGTTCCAAAGTTTTCACTATAATAGTAAATCAAAGTTCCAAAGTTTTCACCATAGTAAATTAAAGTTTCAAAGTTTTCACCATAGTAAATCAAAGTTCCAAAGTTTTCACTATATTAAATCAAAGTTCCAAAGTTTTCACTATAGTACATCAAAGTTCCAAAGTTTTCACCATAGTAAATCAAAGTTCCAAAGTTTTAACTTTGGTACAATAGTTAACTATAAATAAACTATTGTCTACTATAGTATTTTTTGTTAGGGTATATAGCCCTCCCAAACTATAAACGTCCATCTAACTCACATAATATTGGATCGGCGCCTGTGTTGTGGGATTTCTCTTTTGTATATTTGCACTCTTTGACATCTGTCTCACAAATCACTTATGTTAATACCTTCCATTGCCACAAATGGGCATTTGTATATCAATAAATTATCATCGCTGATGGCTTTTATTGAAATGCATTTGTTATGCATATGATAGATGTCAAAGGGTACAAAAAGGTGAAAAGTGAAAACGAAATACTGGTAAGCATGCGTAATATATTATATAATTCTCCATTCAAAATTAGTTTTTAAATTTTTTTTTCTCGTTGTAGGTGTAAATGTGAATTAACAAAAAGTGGTTTTAAAATGAATACACTCTCTTTCCAATTAACATTTAATTAAATATTAGTTATATTTTAAATGTTTATAACGTCATGCGCTCTCATATGATTCGTAAAAATTTCTGTTTTGTTGGAAATTCTTTATTTTTTTAAAATCATATTTAAAAAATTATCAAAGTTAAATTAAAAATATCATTTTAGAAATAAAGCTTCAATACAAATGTCACACAAATTATCCAAAAGGTCGCGGTATTTTGATTCTTGTTAATGAATAAATAGTCACTTGTATGCCTCTTTTCCGTTTGTTTGTTTGTTAAGGGCCCTCTCTTTACCAATGCAAAATGTTTTGTAGATATAAATAAAAATATATTTTAGAAAGGTGTTCATATTGAGCTTATCTATTTAATTTTCACCTACTTGACATTTACCCCCAGGAAAAAAGTACAAACTTAACACAGCATCAGTGAAAAGAAATCACTAGATGCTGTTTACTTCCATAGAAGAAATAAATGTAAATAACATGTTTATTCAAGGTAGGATTCTTCTCTGGTTTCTGCCTAGATGAAATATTCAAAGTACATTTCCTCATATGTCTTATATATGTGTAAGAGATTAAAAAGACCACTTCTTTCTTTCCTCGTCACAATTGTACAACTTAAAATAGAAATGGTAAACCTCGTTTGAGAACTAGCAGGGACTACTTTTTTGGTGGAATGGTGAATGGTCGTATGAAAATATCTTCTTTTCTGTCTCTCAAAATCATTATAGAATAATGAATTCAGTCATAATTTTTACACAATCAAAGACTTGAAAAACTTTTTAAATGTAAGTTTAATTAATAATAAGGGACTAAAGTTCCTAAATATATCAAATAAATATGATTTTTCAAACAAACTAGAACTGTGTTAGCTTTTATAAGCTTCCAATCTGAATACAGATTTGAGCCAAATATCCGTGAAAAGTATTTTTTTCTCTCTGTTAGTAAACGATCAAAGCTTTTTTTTTCATCGTTTTGTATGTTTATGTGGCAACTTTACCATATGTGAAAATGAGAAAAATTTAAATATAGGAAGCATATAAAAATAACTAATATATCCTAAAAATTAAGAAAAGTAGAGAAAATTCGGATTAGCCAATATCCATTTTAGTTAAATTATTTATGTCAATTTGGTAATATCATCTTATAGGCCCTTTATGGTAGTATCTTTTTATGCAAAAAAAAAAAAACAAACATATAATCTTTTGCAATACAAGTAAGGATCGCATAATTGGCAAAAGTATTTTTTTTTATTATTAATGACCAGGAAAAAGGTAATGACCTTGACCTGTCCTTGTCTCTAATATGTAACGGTCAAATTTAATTTTACTGATACCAACACTTAGTGATAATGTCTTCTTGATTCTGTGAAAATTTCATTAATTCTTAAATACAAAAAATATGAGAAGAATCCTATCTTAATTTATTTTGGCCTTTTCAAATGTTAAGAATACTTGATAACAAATTGAGTAATATAATGAAATATTCTGTAAAGTTCTTTTTTTTAATTCAGATGGAAGGGCAGATCACTCTGATCACCCCCCCCCTCTTTCCTCTGCAGAAAAATATCATAGTGTGATCTTTAGATAAGTGTGAAGTGTAGAGAGGGTTCTTTATTGTTTTCCTCTCGTAGGTTTTTTTTTTCAAAAATGATTGTTTTAATTTGAATACATTAAAGGTAGAATTTCAGACAGCCCAATTATCTATTCCTGGCAATGAAATGTATCAAAACTTTCAGGCAGAAGAGGGTATCCTGCTATGGCGGCCATTAATGGTCATAAGTTCCAGTTACCTACCTGTCCCCCACAGGTGAGACTTGAAGTTTTGATTCCCTGTAAAATGTGTTTAATACGTCGTTTGACTTTGCAGTGCTGCCTCAACATTTCATGTATTTCTACTGTAAGTAAAAGACAATGGTTTTGGTATAATTATTAGTCGTCTATTTTTCATCTTCATTAAGGTTCATAAACCATAAACTCTGCTACATGTAACTCAAATGAAATTTTTCTTTATCTTTTATGATTTTCCAAAGGAAATGTATTTGCTGAATAAAAAACAAAGAATTATAGCATGGCTTGCAGGGCAAAATTTGACAAAAAAGGCACTTAAACTTGACAAATTTGTAAAGGAATAATAGACATTTGTGTCATTAAGAGTTATCTCTCTTATCAGAGTATCAATGTACCTTAACTAGTATTATTTGACACAGTTTATGCCATAAAATTTATTTATGTTACCTTGTTTGCTCAGTTCTGTGAGATGTTATCGTAATTTTAATACAGATCAATCTATAAGAAATTGTGCATTTTAACAGCTGTTAAAATGGCATCAAACGTCTTTCTTTCGCAATTAAAGTTTCACTCTTGAATATCGTGGGTTGACTTTTGTAATGTTTGAACTGACCATTAAGATAAAAACACATTTTTGGATAATTTTTTTGTAAAAGATTTACTTGATTTTACTATACATATCATGTAGCATATTTTTGACATCATAGATCATATATGACCCTCCCGCGCGCACCTGTTTTAATGACTGCCAGGACCACGACTGTGGGGAATACTGTGAATGTACTCACACCCTGAAGTACGATCAGCTGAATTCGAGTGTTCAGTTGGTTCTTGTTAATACAGGTGAGGTGGTTACCTCTTTTGTACCTAAAATTGAGAAACGACAATTAAATTTGAATATACGTACGAATACATTATTGTATAGATAAAATACATGTCAATTGATAAGAAAATAAATTAATATGCAATTAAAACTTGTACAAGATTTTCAAACCAGATCTAGAGAGAGCCTGAAGAAAAAAATTATAAAACTTTGAAGTATTTTTCTAACAAGATATATAATTTCTTCAGTATTTCCTGCAGACTCAACAAATGGTGGAACAAATCATCCTGTTCATATACATGGCCATCACTTCCACATCCTTAAAATTGGTTATGCCGAAGTGGACAAAGAAACTGGATTAATTGTACATGAATCACCCGACATAAGATGTGCAGGGAAAAATTGTAAATATCCGAGCTGGTCACGCGACGAATGGGCCGGCGGGAAAGTTCCAGGCCTCAATCTTGAGAATCCTCCATTAAAAGACACCGTTGTGGTGCCACGGAAGGGTTATGTTGTGCTGAGGTTTCATCTAGATAATCCAGGTACGTGTTTTATGAATGAACAATATGCTTTTTATCTAATTTTTGTGTCATTGTTATCAAAATTATTGCGAAATCACTGCATTGGAAGGGGATTAAATTTTAGTTGTTTTCAAGGAATGGAGAGTCACTCGAATTCATGACCACCATGAAATGTAAAATTTAAAAAAAATCATTACTACTCAACATTTCTACAACAACTAGATCAAATCCCCATATATCATAATTTCTTCTTTTGAAAATTTGACCTCATGAAAATATGTGATTTTACAGTACTAATATAATTTATGTATAACGACTTTGTATTCATTCTATTTGGAATACTGTACAGGTTATTGGCTTATGCATTGCCATATGAAGAGTCACCAACTGGAAGGAATGACCTTGATTATTAGGGAGGGGCGTCATGCCGATCAGAAGAAACCTCCCAAAAACTTCCCAACCTGTGGGGATTTTACGTGGTCATACAATGAGTACCAAGAAATCGTCAATGGCCCAACAGTTGGATTAACGCGATCATCTAATGATAGCACACAAAATGGTAGGGAAATACCAGTACATTAAATGACTAGTTGAATTTTACAAAATGATCAAAAGTAAGCATGTTTTATGTCATAATAATTCCTATTACACAATCTTATGTGACGGTGATTATAATAATATAAAGATTTAACAAGAAAAATTTAGAAAAAGTTCGCCACATCAGTTTCAAAAGTGTTGAAAATTACGGTTATCGCTTGGTTTTACAAACAGTAAGTAAAACGTGTACTATTATGGCATAAAAATAACAAGAAGCTTTTTGGACATGCGCAAGGTACCTTACCTACTGAAAATTTTTCAAGACATGCTAAATTTAAGATTATAGTGTCATCAAATTTTCATAGACAAAAAATCAACATGTTTTACCAGGGGATTTTGGACGAATTCAAATTATGAAAATTTTTGCATTAATCAAAAAAAAAAAAAAGATACAAAAATTACGAAACATAAATTCCAGTTTTTTTTCATCAAAATTTGTTTTAGAAAAGATGTATAAATCCATATAAAAATATTACATGTAAAAGTTTTACATACAGGTCCTTCTTTTAGTGGAACTTTTAAACACCAAGGAATTTAGAGCCCAATAAAGTTCAAACTACGTTTCGTATGACTTTAAAGTTTGAGCCTACAAGGCTAAGTTCTTTCGCCCTTCTGTTTTTATTCAGCCAGCATATTTAAATTTGTTTTCCTTTACATAATCGTATAAAACTTTGAGTACATATTGTGGATCTATCATTTACGTTGTCTGAGAATGCTTCCATACGAAAATAAGTAGTCATGGCCTTGCTGTTCATGAATGAAGATCTGAAAAAGAAATTCCTAGCTATTTCTATTAAAAAAATTCTTATTTTGGCCCGACCGTTTTATCTGAGATCATGAGATGAACAAATCTGAATCTACAATATACAAAATAAACTATTACTTTATGTTCATCCTTTTTGAACAAGTGCTTCTTGAGTAGATGATTTTTGAAAGATACACATATTGTTCTTATCAAAAGAAGACTGTGTGGAAACATTGGTTTTAATTTATCCACTGGTTTTGATAGAATTCGGAAATGTAGAAAAACACACACATACACACCCTCCCTCACACAAACACACAAATATAATACACAACACAGAGACAGATAAAAAGACGGACTCTGGACACTTTTGATCAGAAAAATTTAGCTATATTAGGAATAAGCTGAGATACCCTGATAAATAAAAATAGTTATTCATACGACAAAAATTTAAAACCCATTTTTATCTTGGAGAACTTGATGCTGTTGTTGCATAATTCCTGGTCACATTAAGAGAATCAAATCATAGATATTTTAATTCAATTTTTTCAGAAAACAATACTGGAGCGACTTCAGGAGATTTATCTACATCACCCCTTGGGGATTTATCACACACCATTGTCACAATCTTTATAGTCACTATTTGTATAACTGGTTTGGTTCTCATAGTAGTCATCGTCAAATCCCCTACACAGAGAGTGGAGTATCAAAGACTGCCCAGCGGAGGAATCGAGTCCCTCTCCTCAACCATGTGTGCAGCGGACAGACAACCCCTCTTGTCCTCTAGACCAAAAGTCAGAGTAAATGGAAGTATAAAATAAAATTCATCAAGTATTTTATGTTTTTGATTCTCTGCGTACAAATTCAATGGATCCCTGACATGACTGCCTTAGTTTCTGCTTCTTTATATCAATAGATGGAAATTTACAATGGACTGAAAATTACACATGTAATGATGTATGTTATATTGCTTAAAGCTGTCGAATTATGCGATGAAACAAAAATAAAGAAGTTACTTTACTCATGCTTTATTGATACAATTCTGAACAAGCTTTCTTGTATTACATAAGCAATACATGTTACTTGTATTGCTTATGTATAGGGTAGAGGACCTTTACCGTAATAACTTGCCCTTATGATTAATTTCACTATTCTAAATACAGTTCTATTTTTTCCAAAACAATTGGCAGAAGAAAAAAGAGAAAAAAAAACATCATTTTTAATATCTCAATCATTTCATTTAGTAAATTCTTTCTTGTTTGATGGGTAAAATACGTGGAGAAAACGAACAGAATTCTAAAGTCCACTAAAGATTTCAAATTAAGATCAGAGCAAACATGGACCTCTGAAACATTAGAGATAGGATCCTGTACCATGGAAGAGTGATTAGGGGATGCTAATTCCTCCACTGCACCTGATCCCACCTCTGATGTTTTGGACAACTATGTTTCTCATACCTTATATTTTGATGTTTTTTTTCAAGGATCATTCTTTTATAACTAGATACATCTTAAGTCCTAAGTTTTTGAAACTCTTGTTGAATTACCTGATAACCGTTTTAACTGTTTGAGGTCTCCTCTTGCAGTATAACACATCATTTGTCAAAATCTGCCAAAGTGCGCCAATAATGGACCCCTTATGATTACATTTGATGTCCATTGTTTTATAGTAATTGTAAGTGAGGTGGATTCCACTGATTCTAAAATTCTTCGTGTGGGTCTAGATTGATAATTAATACCACAATCCGCTTAGACCTGGTAATAGAAATATATTTTACCTTTTCAAATATTACATTTTGACAATAATGTTAGCGTTACTATTTGAAATAAAATATAAATGTTACAACATTTCAAATTCATGGTTATCATAATCAATACAAGACGCACACTGTCCAATTTCCTTTCAAGATTCCCTGAATGTTTAAAGTTTGCAATATCTAGGCCTCATTTTGGCGATTTTGTCGAAATATTTGTGTATGTAATACGGCATATGCAATTTGTTATCGTTTGACAAAATTCATCTAAATTAATTTCTTCATCATCACAGGTCATAAGAGTGTGAGTCTAGATTGATAACCGTTGCTACAATCCATTTAGACCTGATAATAAAAATATATTTTACCTTTTTAATAAGTTCTTTCCATAACTGTTTCTGTTTAGTAGTACAATTCTCAGTTAACCGTGGACTTTCAGGAGGGCGTGACTTTCTCGACACGACGTACTTAGTGTCTCTCAACTGGCGAATAGATTCTCATTGGTTAAGAAATTAATATCATCAACAACCTTAAATTGTTGTTGACAACAATGAAACGATTTAAGCCCCACCTCTTCGCCGTACGAAAGACTATCATTTGGCATTTCTACACTCGTTGACTTTCGCCGGAATGTATATTTCAACCGTGAAAGGCTGTGTATGTTTCAGACCCTAATTAGGTAACGTCAAAAATACCATGCCTTACTGAAATCCAAGGTTGAATGAGAATTGTACTATTATTTTTTTCTCACATGCATTTCCTCACGTACCTTGAGTACAATAGGATCTGCGTCTCTAATTATCTATTGTAATGTTTTGATCATTCTGTTAATTGGTTTGTATAGGGTGTTCCCCTTTTCCATTACAACTTTCTGTGGGTTTATACCGGTATTAAAGCTTCTGTGGATTGGGAACTTATAAATGACTATTTTTTTGTCCCTGAATGACCCAATATTAATGAAATATTTTTAAAGAGATTTTTTGTTGCCTTATCCAACATCTCGCTATTGTGTAAAAAGACTAATTTAAAACAACGACATAATAAAAAATTTGACTTATATTTTTATTTCAGATATTTACACAATAATCACTATTTCCATATTCCAATTAAATGCCAAAGATTCCTGGAACAGAACGGAAATATAAAAGCAATTTTAAAAAATAAAATGCATATTAGTGTATTAGAGGGAACATTTTGAAATGATCTATTTTTTTTAACAATTATTAGAATCTTGCATTGAAAAAGCTTCGTCGTTGAATGATATTCATAAAAAAAAATTGTATGCTTTTTCTAATCCAACTACCTTGATTAAAATTATAGAATCGATATCTGCGTGATTGTCCCGTTCAAAATTTTAAGTAGTTACATGTACTGAATTAAACCTTCTTTTGAAGCATTTTCAAAACTTATGAAGCAAATTTGAAGTAGTCTATTAAGAAATTTATGTGGTCAAATCCTTTCCGTGTGTTTTTGGAGTACTTGCAACATATTTAAAAGAAAACACGGATAGGAAAACACTGTTTTATATTAATCTAGAGTCTATTTCTTATGGAAATATATCATGTCCATGTGTCCCAATATCCACAATCCTTGAAGAGTTGTCTTTGGATGTTGTAAGATGGCGACCATTCCACAAAGGGCTTTTCCTCAAGATTCGGAGTGCTTTTGTCCCAGGGATAGGTCCAATCATACTATCATACCGGTGCCGCCTTTGACATTTTCTGATATTCCTTATTTACTGGCACAGCTACCTTGTACACTTGATGCACGTTATGCACGTTAAAGATAGCTTAGAAGCAGGAGAGCAAAGGCAAGGGAGTGGCCAGGACATCAACTGGAAGTAGTCGATGAAATTGTGTGTGATCTGTACATGTATAATTATGAAAATTTAAATTAACTAATATTTTTACTCCAGTCTTTGACTTTTTGTCTTTAAAAATGACTTTTATAATGTATAAATATATACAATGTAAAAATATTTTTTTGGTATCTCCTGGAAGGTCCTGATTATACAGGGCATAACTGGCCATTCATAATGAATAAAATCAATACTTACGATCTGTCGTGTATATTTTTTTGTTCTCCAGAATATTTTCAGAACCTTGCATCACTTTTAAATTCTTTTATTATTGATTTGCCCGAACAACGATGATAGAATCAACCGTAGGTTCTGATTTCTTTCTCCGGTTTTGTTGAAACTTTCAATCTCTTCAAAGTTTGTTCTGTAATCAAAAATATACTTGTGTTAGATTAATTAAAACAAAGTTTCCAATTCTTGGATAGCCAGGCTTTTTTTTTTTTTAGATGAAAACCAACTGCTATTTCTACTTCATAGAAAACTTTTTAAATTCATTTCTCCAAAGATGAAGTGTAGATAAATTCATTTAGTTATACATATGTTTTCCAAATTCTTTAAAAGCCCGAATCACAAGACAAAAGACCATCTTTAAGCAATAGCTTAATGGTGGCTTATAGAAGTTTAAATTTTCTTTAAGACACCATTAAGACACAGCTTCTGGGTGCTTACACTTAATGTCGAAACTTCATTAAGCTACCATTAACATGATTAAGCCACCTTTAAGCTGCTCCTTAATTAAAACAGTTTTCACATCCTTTATCAACAATTAAAATTGTTAAGTTTAAAGTTGTTTCGATATAATTTACGCAAACTCTTATTCATTTTTTTTTCTCGGCATTTCTAACATTATTGTAAATGCGTATACAGTCGGGCACTGAAAACAATTTCATCAAATTCCTTAAAATATTCACTACAAAAAATTCAGTTCGTTTAATTTAATACTTGTTTTCAACATTATTTTTATCCATAAACATGATAAACACATACTAAATTCAAGTTGCTTAATGTTGATTTAAAGACAACCCATCATTAAGGACCTATTACATGTAGCTACCATTAAGCCAAGTTCAAAGGATGTTCACATCTTGTGAATCAAATTTAGTACATTTACACGCCATTCATTTTTAGCCAATCCCTTCTTAAAATGACGCATCTATTAAGCCTTTCCATTTCATAAAAATTATGAGACAGAGGAAGCCCAATCAATGTAAAGGAAGGATTAAGACAAGAACTCTTTCAGTGAAAAAATTCTAAATGATATCCTACAATGTATCACATTCAAATTTGATTAGGAAAGTGATTAATTTCAAATGGTTCTTCTCTTCGAAACATGCTCGATTTGAATTCTGGTAACTTAAATGATATTATTTTGCCAAAACTATTACCTGTTAGTTAGAAGACATGTCACTACGTAATCATGAGATCTTAAAGCACATTTAACTCATTGTCACTTGGACCGTATATCCTAGCGTTTTAAGGATTTTCTTCCAAAACTCTCATTTACAAACAATTTTAATAAGTCATGACTAAACTAAACAATCAGTAAAAATCTCAATCAAAAGTGTTTAAGTAATTCTATGTCCTAAATATTCAGACCTGTATGCATCCTCTGCGATTTGTAAAATTCTTTCAGTAAATATTTGTAAAATATCATTGGATCTCATCTTTCTCCTGAATGCAAATGCAAGCTGCACAGTAGTTATTGCGGTAAATCTATTTTCAAGATTTCTGCCTCATACAAATATCTTGTAATATATGTTGTAATTGAATATCACAGATTCTTTATAAGTAACATATTTTCAATGTCATTCGTCCTCTTAAATTTCCCAGATACTAGGGTGTATACATTGTTTGACCTGACTATGAACAGCTATATATTGCAAATGAAAAATAGTTCTCAATCGTTCAATCACAAGTTATGTCATTCACTTTTTTTCAGTTTCTGGCAATTAGAATATCAACTAAATTGGTCGACTAAAACAAAATATTAAAGAAAACAATACCTCATCTTTTTGTTCTTTTACTTCGCTAATCCTGGTCATGACACCATACTGACTAGGCAGATGTATGCCATCAAGACGAAAATGATTGGAAAAAGTTAAATCAATTAAGAATTGTTGCTTGTATAGTGGTTCATATAGCGGCACTGTTGTGACTCTCTCCTTGCTCGGAAAATCTCCGCTCTGAAGAGTTCGTCTTTTAAGTTCAAATATCATTTTTCATTTGTTTTAAGCAAAGTTCAGCTACTTTTCCTGTACCGGCATCCCATTTGCCAAGATAGATAAACATCCTGGTGGCTTACACTGTCCTTAATCCGATTACTGAGTTTGTCTATTCTTACGGAAAAGTATTACACGTATATTCATATCCTGCTTGGATTATAGATCAATGTACTCAATCATACAAACATTGTAAATAGTTTATTTTTTATTATCAAAAAAATATTTAAAATAAATGTCTTAAACCATATAGGTCTACACTAGTTATTTATCACCATAACTCTCTCTCTCTCTCTCTCTCTCTCTCTCTCTCTCTCTCTCTCTCTCTCTCTCTCTCTCTCTCTCTCACACACACACACACACATCATTATTCAAAAGATACATTTTTTTCCCATTATATTTAATAAATGAGTATTTTTCCCATCTTTGTACTTTTTTACAGAGTTAACATGTACTGTCCTCAATCTGACCGAGTGTACTCAAAAGCTTCCGTGCTGTAGGCCTCTGGCCTGCCTCGGCGGCCCAGCAGTCACTTATAAATGTCTGTATACCTGACGGTGGTGGGTACTTATGGTCAAACGTAGGTCGGGTACCTCCTGTTACGTGTTCCTGGATGAAAATAAAGAGAATTTGAGTAGGGAACTTAATATCATTATGAAAATAAAAATATTATTTAATTAGCAAGGTATTTTAAATAATTGGAACATTTAATCATGATAAAAATAATATTATACTTTAATTAAGGTGTGAGGATTTCTCTCCAAATTTAAAAAAATCGAGAATAATTCTTAAAGGAGGTTTCTTGTCATATTTATTGTATATTAAAGGGTTCTTCATCATTTAATATTTTCAAATTTTTCTGTTGGGCAAGAATTGCGTGAAGCACTAATATTCCCTGTCAATTCGCGACCAAATTCGCGAGGGAGCCCCGAAATAAATTGAAAACCACAGCACCTTCGAATCACTATTGATTTCAAATACAAATAGCATAAATTATCTGGAAAATGATTGATAAATTTAATGCTACTAATAATACATTGACAACTATTTAACATAGGTTTGTAGGTTACATAAGCCACATATTTAATTATTCATTGCGGTGGTAATGAAATAGGGTGCAGACTTTCAATAGAGTTGCGGCATCATACGGTAAGGGCAGTAAGAAAAATTCAGGATATGTTTCCAATAGTATGGCGGGGTGAAGAGAAGCATGGGGCGACAGAGCTTATTAGGCGTCGAGTGAACAGTAAGATTGACACTTTGGTGAAATCTCTTAATGGGCATTACAACAAATATTCTGAAATTTCAGACGGTGACTCATCGCTTTTCTTACCTGATGGTATCCACCTTAAAAGATGGTCAATAAAAATTTTCTCCATCATATTCAGCAAGTTATTTACTACTTTGTTACAATTAAAGGCTTTGTTCATTCACCTATTTGAGAATGGGGTCTATGGCTGCTTCCGTTATAGTATGTAGTTTCAGCACATTCTGTTCATTAATGTGCAAGTGTATTCATTTGGTTAACAAATTGACATTCGGATATGCAATATCAATTATAATGTGTAGTTTCTAACAAGTTGTGCACATCTTATTTGGTTGCAGAAAGTTGCCTCTGCTATCGCGTGTTGATATATATATATATATATATATATATATATATATATATATATATATATATATATATATATATATATATATATATATATATATATATATATATATATATATATGTGTACAGATAATAGATTCTGTTAAGTTACTAAGTATTTTGTAGACATCTGATTTTACCTATGCTGTGGCACAGTTGGTGTAAATTAAATTTGTTGCAGACATTTATTCTGTATGTAATATGTGTTATTTCAGCAATTTGTGACATAGTCTGTGTAGTTGAGTATTTACAGCTAAGCAAGGTATTGGATTTAAGCTGCAAACATGGGTTGTTGCAATTGCAAATTTGTTTTTTCTTTTAAACTACCTCTAAAAGAAGAGTAGCATTAAAATTATATTGCATGTATTGTGAATTTGTTGAAGTTGTTTGCTTGTATTAAATTTTTATAAAGTAAAGGACAAGATAGGCTAACACCCCTTTTTGGCCCCTGACATTGGGTGTCTTTTAAAATGATGCAACAGTCTATCAATAAAAACCTGTTGTCATCCCTGCCACAAAATGAGTATTGGTTCCAAGTTTGGGAATACACAGAGGTCACAGAGAGGTCAGAAAATAGGTCAATTTTTAATTTTTCTCATTTTGATGCAAATTTTCATCAATTTCATTGCACATTTTATTTCGGAAAACATAGAGCACAAACTTGCCTATCAACCAAATCTATACATATTTTATACCAGTATCAGATGCAGTTATGTATAAAAATCTCAGATAGGAATCATTGCGCGCTATGTTTTCCGAAGAAATTCCACCAGAATTGAGGAAATTCGGGAAAATGTCCAACTTCTGCAACCTCTTGTGGCCTCCCTGTAAGGTTTGAATTCAATTAAGTGCTGGTTTTAAAGCAAGCATCATTTTAAGTTCTAAACTACAAACCATCACAATTTTACCAGTGTTCTGATTTTTACATCAAATAAGGGGCCAGATTAATTTTCAGCCCTTACCCTACCTTGTCCTTTGGTGTTTGGCTTCCCTGATAAACGGCCCCAGGAGAACCCTGTATTAAAAGTTAATGATAATTTCAAAGATTCAAGATGACATTTCGAATTTGACACATCTACTCTATATGCAAGGTCAGCATATGTCATTCTAGTTTCCTTTGACATTTAACCAGTGAATCGTTATTTTTTGAAAGATATAGTCTCATCACTGCAACAGTGTGTGCAAACAAAATGACTAGCGCTTTAGTGCGTTGCACTTCCACAGAGTTCAACGTTATGACCTCAAAATAAAACGCATCCTTTAACCTTTTGATCCCTTCCCGTGTTATGGTGTTTTAAATGCAATATATATCCCTTCACTTTATATGTAAAAACAAGTGTAATGTAAATATAAAGATTTTTAACTGGGTATTGTTGCCAATCATTTAATGCCTTCTAATCTATTTCATAAGATTAATGTTTTTTTCTTTTTGTTTAAAAAGATTCACCATGATATAAGATCTATCAGATGATACTACTGACTAATCCAAATTTCCACATTTTTTGTTGAGATTTTTAATGAATATTTATTAATTTAATTTTTTTGGGAATACTGCTTTAATTTATCTCTTTTTTTCCTCATTATCACTTATTGTGAAGTAGTCATATCACGTTACATTTTTTTTTCAAATTCTCTCTACTGGAATTCTACTCATCAGTTCGGTAGATATTAGGCTGACTGTCGCACCTGTGTCAGAACTGGAGAATATAATCAATAAAATAACTTTAATCAACCTTTTCTGTGAAGTTTTTTGGGGGGCATGTAAATGTTTGTTTGGGCTGAAAATACCGTATTAGTGGAAATTTTAGCGAGACGCAAATTTAGCGATTTGACCTTAACAACTGGTTATTTATTTTTATCTTTAGCGAGATGTAATTTTAGCGATTTTCAAAATGCTCACTAAATAAGCCATTGCAATTGTAAAACAATTAATTTTAGCGATGTTCAATTTTAGCGATCTCAGCACCCTCGCTAATAATGCCAAAATAAAATCCCCGCCAAAAATTCTGCTTATAGGGTATTGTTGCCAATCATTTAATGCCTACTAATCCATTTCATAAGATTAATGTTTTTTTTTTCTTTTTGTTTAAAAAGATTCACCATGATATAAGATCTATCAGATGATACTACTGACTAATCCAAATTTCCACATTTTTTGTTGAGATTTTTAATGAATATTTAATGAATATTTATTAATTTAATTTTTTTGGAATACTGCTTTAATTCATCTCTTTTTTTCCTCATTATCACTTATTGTGAAGTAGTCATATCACGTTACATTTTTTTTCAAATCCGTCCCTAGATTGGAAGCTTTCAAACGCTAACAATTATGTAGAAAATTATTTTATATATTTTAAAACTTGCGTCCATAGTTTTCAATTTCAGAATTTTTTTTAGTCTTTTTTTCCTAAAAAAGAATTAAATTCAATGTTCTCTCCATTAGTAATTTTAAAGGCAGAAAGGGAGATTTTTTTTCTAGGCACGCCAAAAATATCTCCCTTTCTAGATTTTAAACTCGCTTTACGTTTCTAGTCAAAGTTGTACGATAGTGAGAAGAAGATCCTTTGCATCTGTATCATGTAGATATATTAAATCAAATACATGAAATAAGCAAATTCACTTTATATATATATATCATCTTTAGTCATCAACCAGACAAGAATCCCACTTTCGCCTACATTTTTTAATCACCAATCATCTTCTATTCGTTGAAGGCTTTCTTTTTAGTGCTTTCATTTTTTTCAAACTGTCAATCATCATATATTTATATATAAACTTATGTCAAAATATTGATAATAACAACTTGAGTCATGTATTAATGAGTAAAATAAACAAGTTTCACCGCGTAAATTTTGATTTTTTATTCATATTTTCACAAAATTGGGATTTGAAGTAAAAAATATTTGCAAAGATTAATAAGGATGGTTTGAGGATGAGTTTATAACATCATAAAAAGTTTTCAATTTCTTTATATTCTAGAAATTTATTTTTTGCATCATTTTCAATGAAATTAGGCCAAAAAAAATATACCAATCCATGCATCCATTTTTTTGTTTGTATCAACTTCCTTAATAACCATAAATGAATAAGTGTTTATTGGCAATAACAGATTAGATCAACTTATTATTTATAGACACTTACAGATGAGTGTACAGTGTTCTTTTAACTTTACTGTCAGTTTCATTAATATTCCTTTCAACTGACGTATTAAAATTCAAAAACACTATTAATTTTATCAGTACACATAATAAGGACTCAGGATTACTAAATTCAGAATGAGAAATGTACTTTCATTGTAGAAAACATACCTATGTAGGATATGACTTACCTTTACGGACTGATAATTCGTTATGACGTCACGATAAACATCCTCGCTAAAAACCTTTCTACCGTACCACATTTCCCAAACCATAATACCGAGACTAAAAATATCTGCTGACGTATTATATATCTGTCCTTCGAACACTTCCGGTGCCATGGTAACAGGGGTTCCTATGATTGTTCCAGTGAGTAAATTTCCTGGTTTAGACAGACCGATGTCTGCGATTTTAGCTGTGTTATCCTTGACCTATCAGATACAGAAGAAATATGCAATAAACCCTGTAACATTTACATGTATTATTTATGTTCCATGTCATATTAGAAAAGAAAATTAAAACTAAATGTTCTTTATCTTCACCTGCACAGCTTGTGTCGGTATAATACCCAATGCTCCTCAACCAGAATAGATAACTCTTAGATTTATTATTGCACTTGTAGAGTCTCAAAATAAAGCTTGGAATAGAACTTTTTAACATAACGATTATAATTCCCAAGCATCTCAATATGATTCAAGGTTCTTTCATATAATAAAATCTATTTTAATGAAAAAGTTTGAAGAATTTATTATTATGGTTAAATGTTTATCGCCTTAAGAATTCACAGACATTTTTATAAGCATTGTTAATTACTCCAAATTAGCTGGTTTTTAATGCTTTTCAATTGTTTAGAATTTAAGGTTTCTGATTAATTTTAGAATTCTAATAAGAAAACAATGCTGAATAAGGCAAACACACCAGAACGTTTGACAGTTTAAGATCTCTGTGAACGAAATCCTTGTCATGTAGGTAAACCAGACCGTTCAATATGCCTTTCAACATTTTCAGAAAAAAGGCCCACTCATCGAGGAACTCCTGGCTGTCTCTATCATTTTCTTTGAATAAATGACATGTTTTTCTTCGCAGTTTGTTACAACTGCAGAGTTCCATTGGATGGCCGTAACACAAAACAAGGTCTTCCAGTGAGCAGTCACACATTTCCATGAAAATATGTAGGTATCTTCTTTCTTGCCGATCTGTTTCAATGGCGATCCCAAAGCAATTGACGATATTCTCATGTTGAAAGTCTCTGTGGCAAATCAAAATATTTTTGATGATTTTAAAACATATTACTCTGTATTAAAAAAAATTGAAAATTACGAACATTACTCATGCTAAAATAAACAATACAAATTGTGAACAAATATAGACATCAGAATACAGCTGCAATGTAGGGGTGAGCATTCCCTTCACCCCGTTCGACAGGTCACACCCCCTGTGCACCCCTCTTTTGCCGATACCTCGGAGAAAGAATGTAAATGTATATATGAGGGGTGATCAAACAGTTCGCAAACTAATTGAATAACTTCCACAACAAAAAGAATATTTGGTTCCAATGTTGGTTATATTTTAAATCAATCCTCTCCGATTTTAAGGCACATCTGTTACCGTTCTGCTCATGCGCTAAAAACGTGATAAAGGCTGTCATGTGACCCCCTCCGGAGCGTTCTGTCACAAAAGCTGAAAGATTTTTCTGAGTTTTATATTTCTTTCCATGTAAGTTGATTTTTATAGCAAGAACAGTTCATTTGTCAGTCATGGTCAAAGCTCGACAACAGAATGGGTGGATAAGAATATCCTTTCCAAAAATAAACATGGCGACTATCAAAACCCAAATCTTCTGTGAAATGTTGGTTTATTCAAGGTGGATAGAGAATTGGTGCCTTTTTTTTTTATCCTATCTAATATGTTTAAAATCTAAAGTAAACGATATCTTAGGTATTAAATTATTATATTGTTGTTGAAATATTCAACTATTTTCCAAAGTGTAATTTGGAGGCCTTTGATAGCAAATTGCTTAATTAAAACGCATCTCTTTTCAAACTTGCTTTCACTGGGCAACATAACAAGTATCATTTTTAAACATCTGTCTTCCTTCACTAAAACGATCTATCTAATCATTGATGGAATTAATAGTGAGTCAATTGTCCTATTAAACTGTGTACAAATTACCATACGCTACCTCAAGGGGATTTCTAAGATATACCATAAAATTTACAGTCATTTTTTGAACGAGTACGACTGAGACAACCAGTTTTCGTCACAAGTGTCCTGTGTAGTGACGTCATTTTCACATTGTGACGTCACAAACAAGGAGTAAAACCTTATTCAGCAAATGCTATTTATAGAACTTGTATATGGCTATGTGGGTACCAAATTTTTTTAAAATCTGAGTTGTGGTTTTGTAGATATAGAGGTAGTTCGCGATCTTTTTGATCACCCCACGTATTCTGTGTTTTGCTAGAAAACATACGAGCTGTGCATTATTTTTTTATTTAATTTATTATTTATCTTTTTGATAGTTTCAAATATTTTAAATAAATATGTGGTTTGTTGCCTCGAATGAAGATTAATATTTATTCATTTTTATTTTTATTCTTATCTATTTATTCATTAAGACCATACTTTTTTAATTATACCTAAGATTTGCTGCCTCAGTAAGATGAAGATAAATGTTCTCTGCATGTAATGGTGACGCCATTTTCTTCACTGCGCAACGTATTTGTTTTTGTCCGATCTCTGCGTCACATGACAAAACACTAGAGTATGCCCCTCTTCCCAAAGGCACTAGCTCTTTTATAATGCGTGGTTGGCACTCTGAAAGATGTTGCAACTTAAAACAAAGAAGTTCTCCAACTATTTCTTTGCATTTTTGTTCAACTGGTGTGTATTCTTGTCTAACAGTCTGTGAATCTCGGCTTTCTTTCACTATATTTTCTATAAGTTCTTCATCAGCCTCTATTTGTTTAGGAATAATATCTTTACAGACCAGTTTTATGCTGGACATGAAATCTTTTAAATATGTCTGTTGTAAACCACTAAAAATAAGATCAGTGTTGTAACATTTCAATTCTTCTTCTGCCCATTTTAAAATATGTGATAATTTATTTTCTCTGTAATGCTTTATTTTCTGTTTTTCTTCTATGACGTCTTTGACAAGCATCCCGATAGCCACAGGAAGTGCCAAAACACTAGCCCCAATTACCAACGGCAGCCACAGAGGGGCAAAAGCGGCAAGGGCAATGCGTTCCTGTAAAGGAAAGATGGACCTTGACTTTGATGCATCAAAATCAGATGAGTTCTCGGTTGCCTGGGGAACGTTCCCATCAGCGATTGGAGGTTTAATTCCTTGAATGATTTGGTCTATTTCTGTGTAATTTCCTTTAATTAATTTACATTCTTTGATGAACAAATCAAACAGGTGCGAGGAGGTTCCCTCAATGTCATTTTCTTGACACCACTGGACGATTTCACTGTTGATTTTATCTTGTATTTTTTGTTTTGATTTATATTTGATAAGATCCAAATCATTGTCATCTGGCAGATCATCTGTAAGTAAAGAATATAACGTGAAGAGAAATATCATATAATGACATTGAAAATTAGCTATTTTAGTGTAAAAGGGTAAAGAAATTAACAGTAATTATCAGTATTAAAACATTATATATATATTCATGTATGCAATCAAAATACAGTAAATTTAAAATATAAGATAGATATTTTTCAAATCTTTCTAAATTTGTTTAATTATGATATTAATTATCAAGGGGTATATTATTTATGGTCTCCCATGGTTTTCTTTTTAATAATAATATTACAAATCGTATACGAGTATATCATTCTAATAACATTCAGCAAATTTACTTACCCTTTTGCCATTTAAACATCCGGTTCTTGGTTTCCTGATTGTTAAGGTGATCTGTTAGTTTTTCTGCAATATGCTTGCATTTCAGCTCTGCTGCTAATTCCATTCTATTTTTCACCTAAAGTGTATAATATGGCATGAAGAAAGACATTTCTTTATTTACATAAAGAGCAAAAATTTTATTTTCTGTATTATATGATGTTTCTAATATTTCCTGAAATCTTATTTGAAAGTGAAGTATTTGGTGTAATCTTTCATTTTGTTTTAATAGTAATATTTTATGGAAAAGCGATCCGTCTCCTTAAACTGCAATTGAAACCTAGAATTTAACCCCACTCTCCTCCAAATAAACCCATTTAAAATTTAAAGCCTTGAACATGTGTGAGATTACACAAGATTTTAAAAAAAGGGGGGCAAATAAAAGATAAAAAGAGACAGATTTCTATTCCAAAAATACCCAAGGAGACATCTTTTGTGTTTAAAAAGACAAGACAGGGGTTTAAGCAGCTTTAAGAACTAGGAAAATATTTTTTTATTGGGAATGAAAACAAAGGTTGGGATTTAGAGAAATGAAATATATGGAGATAACGAACAATATTCAAGCTAAAATGTACACTAAACAATACAAAATAGGAGCAGAACAAACACGGACGGTTAAAACATTAAAGGTTGGATACAGTGCCATTGAGGAGTGAGCATCCCCTGCCAACCGGTCACGCCTGCCGTGTGTTTCTTGTATGATTGAGATAATCATGATTTGGAAAAACAGATTAAATAGGTGTTCGATTAACATTTTTTACTTTACTAATATTGCTATTTTTTACTTCTTCTACTTACATCCTCTGTTTCGTCTTTTAATGTCTTCAATCTCCTCTCCACTTCAATTTTCATTTGTTCTCTTTCTTCTTGATTCTTTCTTGTTGCGTTTATTCTGGCTATAACTTTCACAAGAAGTCTATCTAGAAAAATCTGTAGCCAGCTGGAATAAAGAGTCTGCTTGTATGTAAAATATGTCAAATAATGTACAACTGGCCTCAAGACCATACACCGAGTACAGAATTAAATAAAAATTTTAAATCTATGTAATATATTTGTCATAATTTAGAAAATAGAACAGAAATTCCTGTATTTGATTAAATTTTTATATTACACAAATTTGTAAAAGCACAAATGTTACAAAGAATTCAATAAATTAAAAATCATGATATATATATTAATCTAAACTGGATACCAACTAATGGAATTAAACAGGACTAGAAACATTTTAATCAAATGAGTTTGCAACAGAAACCTAAAGTTTCCATCTTTATTACATGTAGCAACATTTGGAAGGCATGACATTTACATATGGCAACTAAATTTGGGTAGACTTTACTTTACCGGTCCCCAGATCCGCAAGATCCTCGCGCTCATTGGACTATGACGTAACAACTACGTCAATCAACTGAAATGGGTTAAATTTGCACACTATTCGACTGATTAGGGTTAGTCTTGCACCCACCTGAGAGATTAGGGTTAGTCCTTGCACTAGTATTCGACTGATTAGGGTTAGTCTCGCGTCCATTCGAGAGATTAGGGTTAGTCCTCGCACATTATTCGACTGATTAGGTTTAGTTTAGCATCTGCCCGGGAGATTTCGTCTGAACGTCCTAGTCCTTGCATACCATCCGATGGATTAGGGTTAGTGAATCGTTCTTTTAGTTAAGAAATTCAGTTGTTTCTGTAATTTTTCAAAGCTCATAATTCAGATTCATAGGCATTTCCTTCGTTTGTTTACATGGAAGATTGGCAAAGTCCGAAAGAAATGACACTAAGCATGCGCCGCACGCGCTTCGTTCAGAATAATTCTGTGTCGATTTTTTCCATGAATAAACAATATTTATTAATTTTTTCAGAGAACGAGGTTGAAAACTTTGTTTAAAAACAGAGTTTTAAACCAAACTTTTAACCGTAGAATTCAATTTTGGGGTCAAAAGGCCGAAAAACCTTGTATTTAATTCTTTTTTCGATCGCTCACTCGATCTCATATATACTGAAGTCGCTTTCGGCGACACTACATTTTAGCGCGTTTTTCTGGGGACCGGTAAAGTAAAGTCGTTCCCTAAATTTTTCCATCGCTATTAGCAACATTTTGAATGCAAAACATTAGGATAAGACAATGTTTTACTGTATATTAAAATCTGGATACCATGGTGAGATAGTTACATTGTATCTGTGAAAGATCCCTAAATCTAGCCTTACTCTACATGTCTCCTGACTCTTCTCTCCAAACTGGCGCCAACCAGGCGATCAATACCAGAGAGTAGACTCTTAAACTTATCTGTGTAGCCGAGCCCAGCATCAGCTCTTCTTAAATCCTGTCAAAAGTTTTTTTTTATTAAAGTGTATTGAATAAGTTACGCGAATGGTAATATGTATATTTGATTTTTAAAAAATGACATAGATTATAACCTTATGTGGAATGATATACATAAAGATAACAAATAGTATTCAGGCTCAAAAATCCATTAAACAGTACAAAACTGTAGCAAAGCAAATAAGGACCTATAAAACATCAGAGGTGGGATCAGGTGCCATGGAGGAGTGAGCACCTCCCTGCCGTCGCGGCAAGGATAGTGTTGTCCGTTAAATATTTTAACTGTACTAACTTCTCTGAACTACAAAGATATGACGTCATAATAGAATATGACGTCAATCACTGCATACTTGAGCTGACATGATGGAGAAAGTGTAATAATTTTACATGACATGTAGATTTTGGGGGGCGTTGTTGTTTAATTCATGTGTTGGGATTGTATTTTAAGCTCCAGTGTGCTGTTCTGATGTTGAACATTTGAAATTTAATACACCTCTTCCTTTCGTTTGTCCGATATGCACACATTTAAACAATAGCTAAAACATTTGTGAATCGTGTTAACATTGGTCTGGCACAAGTGATGAACATGGATAAATTGAAGATATTCGGGGTGAATCTTTAAGAGAAGTAAGTCCTCAAACTGAATTTTGCTGGTGGATTGTGTGTAGTTTATCCATTTTTGTATAAATTGCGATGAAGTGTGGAAAATACCCTTTTTGATGTTTGTAAGTTGATTTTCTCGTATATTATTTTCTTACGAAGTAAAAAGATTTTTCTCGTAAAATATTTTCTTATGAAGTAAAAAATCAATCTGCCCCCAGCATTTTCTATTTACCAGAGTTCACGATAAATTGATCTATGTAACAAACATTGCACAATAAATTTGTTTTGCACTTGTGCAGAAGCGATTTTTGTACAACATTTAGGAATATCGTAAATGTCCGTCACGTTATCAACACGGTCATATGACATCACAAAAATGCTTTTTTATTATACCTGATTAAACTATTATCTAACTTGAATTTCAATCAAGGATTACATATTGAAATTAAAATCTAGCTTAAAAGAAAATGTATATTTTAAGGCATTTTAAGCCTTTGGACAGCCTTATCATAACTGCGGTCTGATCACACCAGCTGTTTGATCATTGGTTCATAAATCACGTTTATGCTTACGTATAACACAGTTATTTATCAAACTTGTTTACCATAAAAATGTCTTACTGTACATTTGCAAGTTTCTTTTTTTTATTTAAATCCAGTTACATATGCACCATCATTATTGCATGGCATGTCGTTTAACCTTTCTAAAAGATTTTTATCCCTTTTTGTTGAAGTTGCATCAAAATGCGTGGTTAGATAGATGGGATAAAAGAGCATCGTGTTTTTTCAATGAAATGTATCGTGCATATTTGTGACATTAATAATTTTAAACGTAAGTTTAAATTTATCTAGATCTAATGATAATTTTACACAAGTTTCATACTTTAAATAAAATCTTTTAATGAAACATACATGTATGTGTCAAGTGTGATCCAAAGGATCAAATGAGTTACAGAAGCATTTAAGTGAAGTGAGGAACTTAGTGAACTACTTGTTCAATCCAGCAACGTTTGTGTTTTTTCTTCCGTGTTGGTATATTTGAGTTTTTTTCCCCATTTAATATGCATACCTCGAATAAAAAATCTTCAGTAAAACAGGTTATCAGGTACATCTTTAAAAATATCCCATTTTTCTGGCTGTATATATATATAGAGCTTATTAGAATTATCTGATTTTTAGGTCACCTGAGTAAACTCAGGTGACCTATTGCTATCTATTTTCGTCCGTCGTCGTGCGTCGTTCGTCGTGCGTTAACAATTCAACATTTTCAAATTCTTCTCTGAAACCGCTGAACCAATTTCAACCAATTTTGGCATATAGCATCTATGGGTGATAGGCAACAAAAATTGTGAATTTCATGGACCCTGCAACCCTGGGGCCTGGGGTGGGGCCAAAACCACTAAAATTAGTGCAATTTTTAAAAATCTTCTTCTTTACTACTGGACATCAAGCAGTCAAAATGTTGGTATGATTGTAATCAGCATTGAGTCTTCTAATAAAATTGTGAAATTCATGACCCCAGGGGCAAGAGTTCTAGTGGTAGGGCGGGGCTATATAGACTTTGTAGTGAAAATGCATAAATTCTTTGAAATTCTTCTTCTCTGCCCATGGGCATTAGAAAAACTAACTAAGTGCGGAGTTATGTTGAATAAGGCTGCCTCTTCCAAAATTGTGAATTTCATGGCCCCTAGGGTCAGGGGTTTCTAGTGCTTGGGCCGGGCTATATAAATTATATAGTGAAAATGCACATAAATTCTTTGAAATTCTTCTTCTCTGCTCATGGTCCCTGGATCAGAGCGTCATGTGTTAAGACGGGGCTCTAATGTTTATATGCTGAAAATGGATATGAATTCTTTGAAAAACTTTTCCTTTGCTCCTGGGTATTATGCCAATGATGTAAGTATATATTTATGATGAAGAAAGCTGTTTCTTCCAGAAAGGTTAATTTCCGGGCCCCTGGGTCAGACATATTTGGAGGGGGGAGGTGGGGGGAGGGTTCATAGTCTGAATATAAATTAATGCTTTGAAATCTGCACTTTGATATCGATCAACAATTTATGATGAAATAAAATTCATGATAAAATTTCCAAAATTTTGAAATTGTGGCCCAAGGGTCAGTGGTTTCTGTGGGATGGGGTGCACAACTGGTTATAAATAGAAATTTATTTTCTCTTTGTTGATCTGATCTACATCTGGGTATTTAGTAACCAAAGTAAGCATGCTAAGTGTATAATGATGATAAGCAATGTTGTCTCTTTCAAAGATGTGAATTTCATGGCCTCTGGTTTAAAATATGATTCAAATTCAATTGTTGGAAAGTTGTTACGGGATACTCAGGTGACCTATAAGCCCGTTGGCCTCTTGTTCTTTTAACATTCATAATTTCAATAACACTTTACACATATTGAAATGTTTTAAATGTCATTATACAGTCTGAATTATAAAGCATGATGACATAAGCCCCTTAAAATGACTAATCGTCAGATAATTCGCATGCATCTTTCTCAGGCAAATATATTCTTTTCAAGTCAAAATCTTCAATTTTACCAGTACATTTCGTCTTCATACCTCTGTCGTGGACATTTTAAACATCTGTTCTGTAATGTTCACGTCACGCCTGGTGGGCCAGTGGGTCTTCAGTTTTCTTGCAATATCTTCCAATACTCTCTTCTCTTCCTCTTTTGGAACTTGGTCCCATTTGTTACAAACAAAGATTGCACATTCAGGATCAAATTGCTGTAAGCGGCCCATATTTTCGAATTCTTTCTGTTTTTGAAATATTCTTACAAGCTGTAAAGGATAATCAATTTCATTGAATATGACTTTTTAATTACTGTATAGAGTCTTTGTTTTAATTTCTTAACTGATGTGTACATCATGATGAGTAAGAAAAATATTTTTAAAAAATGTGGCCAATATTACAACATGTATGTTTCCTATATTCATACAACCACACAAAAATACGTGTATTCATAATAAATATAGAATATTTCATCAATATTACGATATAATAATAATAATATTGAATAAATAAATTTCATAAAATATATTTTGTGATTTCATGCAATATATTTTATGGAAAAATATCTATGGTGGTGGATCCAATGACCTAGTAAGCACATACAATGCTGACTGATGACTTTCATATTAATTGTTAGGCTAATATTTACACACAGAATTTTTCTGGATCATATCAAGGAGTATACGGTGGGTGTGCAGGTCGGCAAGGGATGCTTTAGAGGTCTGTGTATGCTATGTTCTGAGTTGTTTAGTTTGAATGGACCTTTGAGCTTAACTACAGTTTGGTATGATCTCCACATGAAGGATATAGAAGAGAAAACGAACAGTATTCAATATAAATGACCATAAAACAATACAAATATAGGAGTAGAGCAAACACGGACCTCCGAAACATCAGAGGTGGGATCAGGTGCCAAGGAGGAGTGAGCATCCCCTGCTGACCGGTCATTTCCGCCGTGTGCTCCTTGTCATTATCGCATTTCATAAATATATACGAAACAGAAATATAAATACCCTGTCGTCTTGGACCCCTCCGGCGTTTGTCGTGTTTATGACGTAAATAAAAGCTACAGCTTCCGTAAGAAAGTTGAGTAGGACCTCAGTCATCTCTTCATTTTCTCCTATACCAGGTGTATCAACAATCGTGGCGTGTTCCTATGGAAATTTTATTTAATGAAAATCATAACAATTATATACTGGCAATAACCCATCCAATTCACCCCCATGCAATTTGATTTATAATTATTTTAAACTTAAATTGGCCCTATTTCCCCAGATTCACGCTCTCTAGACGTTGTAAGAACAAGACTACTGTACTCTGTGCAAAAACTTTAAATAAGTCACGTGATCAGTCAACTGACCTGCAGCATTGGAAGGGGCCAGTAAATATTGACTTCTTTGTATTTTTCAGTTGATTCTCCGGACCGGTCCACACTGACGTACTTGGAAAGTTTAGCTTCAGAGACATCATTGAGAAAAATTTTTTCTCCATTCGTCTTAATGACTTCAGCTCGCTTGGTGGTGCTGTTGAATATTTGACAAATGGTGGAGGTAGAACTTAAGACTTGGCGCGGAAGCACATGTTCTCCCATAATGAGATTTAACAAGGACGATTTCCCCGCTCCTGTTTCTCCTTATACCAAAATAAAGTACATTTATATAAAAACAAAAAATAAGGATATTATTGAAAAAATTAAATATCTATGTAAATTGCAGAATAAATTAAGAGGATTCTTGTGTTGCTTTTTTTTTTTTGTCTTTTTGTTTGTTTGTCTGTTTGTTATTTTTTTTGCGCTTGTTTTTTGTTTTTCCTAAAAGTTATGGAGAATAGATGGTACAGTTATCTATATACCTCAAGAAAGAGAAATTGATGCTTAATGTCGATACAGATTGATGCAATGTTAAAAGACACAAATAAACAAACAGCCATGACAACTTGTATTTTAAAATTTATATATATTAAACTACTGAAAGCCTGGGTAAGATGTAACATATATTGCTACAGATTGCAGTCCTTCAGACCTACCGGCTACGACAATAGGACAATGGCGTCTCTCTAGCTGTTCTCTGTACTTCTCCACCGTACTGATGTAACCATTATATTCCTTAGTCATTTCTGTACCAAGATTCTTCTTAAAGTTTGGCATTTCAAGCATGCGTATCAAGGAGGTGTATAGATCCGCCACTATCTTTCTCATTCTGGCGTCTCGCTCTAGCATTTCTCCCATTACCTCACTTGACACCTGTTAATGTACAAAACGTGCAATTTTTACATATTTACTTATAAATGTAAAATGTTCGTACATGTAAATATGATGTATATAAATCAAGTGAACATGCTGTGAATTTACGAAATGTTCTTCCAATATGAATGTACATAAAACATGCATTCGAAATTGTAACACCATGTTAATTTACCGTTTATTATGCTTTTAATTACTTGTAATTGGTTTTCTGAAAACTAAACTTAATGTAAACCTACTTGTATGAATCTTCCTTCAAGTGTCATTAATAGTTCTTTAGAGAATTATGTAATATGTTAAAAAATACACAATAACAGTTTCCTATATTTTCAGAAACAATGAAAAAGCACTATTTTGCTGATTTAATTAAAACACTTAATATACTTGTGATTTTCTCCTTTCAAGATTTGGCGAGCTTCTTTCATTAATTGATTTTAGAACCAAATCCCGAATTTCCTCAATGTCTTCTAGTGAGGAATAATCCACGTCCATTTTATCAAGCTGATCACAAAGCTCATTCAAACCCATCCCCCGAACTTCTTCCTCACGGCATATGCAGTCGTCCATCTGAAAAAGATGAGCAGAGAATTAAAAACATTACATGAACAAAATGTTATGGTTCCAAGCTGACAAGACTTGATACAATATCGTCACTGATTGCAAGGCTTATAATTATAATCTAAGGAGAGGAATTCACTAAGTTATTTTGAACTTGTTTTCAATCCTTTTGATTGATATCAATAAACTATGTTCAAAACAAAACAGTTATAATCGTTTTTAGAAGAGCTTGGTATCGAAATCCAGCTTTTGCTCGCAATTCACTCTCTTAATTTGAAATCTTCAAAATCACATTACATTATTTAAATCTTTTTAATGGGTTCGATCTTCCCTACATATATTAGATTCCAAAAGTTTAAGAGAAACGTCCGGTGAACTGTTCTACAGAATATCTCAGTTGGGTAAATCTGATATGGATCCTCGAAAACTGAAAAGAATTTCAAGAAAATTTAAAATCGTCAAAATTTTCAAAAGTCAATTGCGTCAAACTTTTTTGTACTTTATGCAACCATTCCTCGCGGTGAAACACAAACTAAGATTTTTCACATGACAGGCAACTTCTTCTTCAATAAAAATGGAAGTAGAAAATTCTATTTTGTGATTTGTCACCAACAAAATCACTTTTTTTATTCTACACACCAGAACTATAAAGTTGATAATAAAAGGATGCTAGAAGTCCTCATTGTCAACATTTACATGACATTGTACATGTATGTACTCTTCGAAGACCAAATCCTCCGACAAAATGAATTCAAAGACACTTACATGAGAAAAAGAATCCACTAGCTGTGACCCTCAACTTGACATTTAGATACACGTTTATCGATGATGTGTTATCAATTAAAAAAAAGCTACTTCCAATTCACATGTGGACTAGATAAGATAAAGATAGATAAGATAATATTTTTAATGTCAGGTACATCAACAAAAACATTAGCTCTAAAGAGATATAATTTTAGGTCACTGATTAATCAGACGTAAAAGAAATGCTAAAAACAGAAATGCACATGTACAAAACAAAACACTCGGACATGGCTCTCACATACCTTCAAAACCGGTTGTATTCGATTGGCTATGCGCACCAATCAGATTACGTACTTAATATTGCGCAAAGCATCAAAGCAAATATAATAATAATCATGACTTAATTACAACTGTGACACAACTAAGGGCTCGATGTGAACTTGAAATAAAAGACATCACAGAGTCTAAAACACATGTTTCAGATTTGGATGATTTACTGACTGTAGTTGATAAGGACCAATACTTATAACTAAAGAAGAAGGTATGATTTAAGCTTTATTGCGCCCTAAAAATGTAATGACATCAAAAAGTTCTGAAACTGGCTTAAATGTTAGTTAAATAAATGACTTGTATAAATCAGGAAAGGATATGGCATAAAGGTTTACCATTCTGCAAATATGACGTCATTAATGTGAAGCATTTCTCTATTTTCAACAGAAAAAGCCTCAAAATGGCACATTTCAAGGGTAATTTTCCTTTAGAAAACAGTGTCCACAGCCGTTGCCCACGTTAATTTTTTGATATTTTGTGCCTGTGGACAATGTTATCTGAAAGAAAATTCCATTGAAAATTGGTGTCTTCTGCAACTTTTTAAAAAAATACGGGAAAATGTACATGTTTATGACGTCATAATTAGCATTTAAAAACACATGTGAGAAAAATGACTTGTATGATTTTTCTGCATTGAATTTCAATTATTTAAAAAGCATGAGTTTTCAACTTTCACACCAGTTTCATTTTTTAGAAAATCACAGGGCAAAATTTGTATGGAAACCATACCTTCTTCTTTTATGAAAAAACGAGATGACCTCAACTTTTACAACGTCAACTTTCCTTATACATTTGTAATATTCCGCTCTCATCTGCATATAGTGCCCACATCTCTAAACCTATTTGATATTCAAGAGCATGCTCCAAGTACTAATCGTTTTTAAATCGAGAGGTTTTTTTTATAATCGTTGTTACAGGGATTTAAACAACCTCGTTTAAAGTCGGCATTTTTTAAATTCTATGGTCATGTTATAATGGCCTTATTAGTAGCTATGACCTATCATTGGGTTGTTTTGGTGGACTTGTTTCATGCCAATCGTTTGGTCTTTTTTCTTTTTTACTGAATTTGACTACGTATACAGATTGTTCCGTCTATCTGATAAGTATACAGGATATAGGGTTCCTGGCGGATGTTTACTACTCCCATGCATCTGATCTGGAATTTCGATGGGTCCGTGTCTTTATACCCTCTTCAAAGATTTGCATGATTAATGGGTTTTTTGAGATCGAACACTGTTTGTTTTCTTCGCCATTCCTCATTAGCTTCAAAGCTGGGGAAAACCTGGCTACTACAGTGTATTTTGGCATAGTGAATTCAAATGAGAATACGGCCATATGAACGTCTGCCCTTTCTCAATGCATTTGTAAAATATTTACAAATGCACATATGTTTTATATTCTCTGACAAATTAAAAGATAATTTATCTTAACTTACAAATAGAATTGTTTATTATGTTTGATTACATATTAAGTTTAACTATATAAAGGTATGGCTCGATAATAAAAATAGTAATTAATGTGGTGGAAAACCCAGGCCCAGTAATTAATAAAATCTGAGTCCGGCATAGATTAGTATACTCGTTAAGTGCACTCTATTCCACAGAAATTAATTGTCAGATTAAACCTCGAAATGATGAAAATACATGTACTTAATTATTTATATTTCTATGTGATACGCTACTTGGAGTATCATATATTTTCAAAAAGTGAATATACACAATTTCGACGACTTAATCAAAACACTAAATGTACTTGCTCCTTTCAAGATTTGGCGAACTTCTTTCTTCAATGGATTTTAAAACAAAGGCAATTCACGTTCATAAGATGAAGATGAAATTCTTCAAAATTGCATTCCATTATTTGAATATTTTAACCTTTTTAAAAATCAGATGAGGATCTTTAAAAACTCAACAGAACTTTAAGACAAAATAAGATCGTCAATTTTTCAAAATTCTCTTGCATCAAAACGTACAACTTTTCTTTAGTTTATGCAACCATTTTCCTCGCGATAAATTACAAACTAAACTTTTTCATATCAGAGGCAACTGCTTCTTCAATAAAATGGAAGTAGAACATTTTCCTATCTTGTGATTTGTCATCAACAAAATCACTCTGTTAAAAATAATCTGATTCTACACACGAGCACTATAAAGTTGATATTGAGTACTAGTAATAAAAGGATGCTAGAAGTCCTCATTGTCAACATTTATCCAGTCTTCGAGGACCAAATCTTCCGACAAAATTAATTCAAAAACACTTACATGAGAAAAAGAATCCACTTGTTGTGGCCTTCAACTTGACATTTAGATACACGTTTATCGATGATGTGTAATCAACTAAAAATTGTTACTTCCATTCTATTATGTGGTCAAGATAAGAGAAAGATAGATAAGATAATATTTTTTTAAATTTGGGTACATCAACAAAAACATTAGCTCTGAAGCGCTGTTTTCTAACTATGAACTTGTTGTGAACTTGAGATAAAAGACACCATAGAGTCTGCAACATCTGTTTCAGATTTGGTTGTTTTACTGATTGTAGTTGATAAGGCCCAACACTAAAAGTTAAATTGTATGATAAACGAGATGATGTCATATTGTAATTTTTTACATTACCGGGTGTTAGTAAATACAGACATTACAATATGACAAATTATTTCATCAGTGTCACCTTTTGTTAAGTCAGGAAATGACAGGTTTCTAGTTTATTCAATTTACAGTCAAATATATTTTTGTACTGAGAATGGTTTCCAAAGTGGAAAATAAACGATTTTTTTCTGAGAAAATAACATACAATTTGTACTTTGCCGATATGTATAAAAGAATTTGTATCATTCTGAACAAAGGAAATGATTTGTTCAATTCCTCTATCTTTGAAATGAAATGAAATTTTATATTGTAAAGTATTATATGTTTTCATTTACTTCAAAATGTAAAATTATTTAAAATCATTTAAGATATTAAATTATACACATATTCATTTTAAAAGGCTTTCGAATTTACGGGTGGTAGTAAATACAAAAAATTACAACATGAAAATGACCTCAACTTTTAAATCGTCAACTTTCCTTATACAATTGTAAATATTCCGATCTCATCTGCATATAGTGCCTACATCTCTCAACTTATTCGAGATACTCAAAAGCATGCTCCAAGTTCTAATCGTTTTTAAACCGAAGGGGGTTTCCATAATCGATGTTACAGGGATTTTTAAAAACAACCTCGTTTAAAGTCGATCAGCATTTTTAAATTCTATGGTCGTTATAATGACCTAAATATTAGTAGCTATGAACTATCATTGGGTTGTTTCTGTTGGACTTGTTTCATGCCAATCGTTTGGTCTTTTTCTTTTTTACTGAATTTGACTACCTATACAGATTGTTCCGTTTACCTGATCAGTATACAGGATACAGGGTTCATGGCGGATGTTTAGTTCTCCCAGGCACCTGTTCTGGAATTTCGATGGGTCCGAGCTTTATGGCCCTCTTTACTTATTTGTTTTATTTGTTTTTATTTGTAGAGTTTTTGGGTTCGAACACTGTTCGTTTTCTTCACCATTCTTCCTTAGCATCCACGTTGGGAATTGACTCAATCTTGCAAACGTCAGACCAAATAACGAGCTATCGAATACGCCACAAACGGAAAGTATTTTCAAATATTTGAAAAGGTATAGTTTTTATATATTTGACACAGAAGAATTAAAGGAATATCGTTTCCCAAAGAGAACAATCTAGAAGAAAAATTCTCTTACAAATAATTGAATGAATTAATAGTAAACAAAACTCGCAACTTAACAAGAACTCTCAGTTCAATGACAACTAAAATAATTTGTTTTTTATACAATATTTATAAATTAACGTCTGGAAACGGGTTTTGGGATTGAACATTGCATTATATTATCTTATATAAACAAACACCAGTCAGAATAATAATCAAAACAGTGTTATTATTTGGATGTATTTTGTCGAAATGGTAATCAACCTCCGGATTGTGCACCATATGTAAAACCTGGCTACTACAGTGTATTACAACATAGTGAATCCAAATGAGAACACGACTCTATGAACGTTTGCCCTTTCTGTGTGCATTTGTAAAATATTAACAAAAGCACATATGTTTTATATTTCCCTGACAATTTAAAAGACGATTTATCTTAAGTTAAAATATAATAATTTATTATACTTGATTCCACAATATGCTTAACTATGTAAAGATATGTCTCAATAATGAAAATAGTAATTAATTTTGTGGAAAAACCAGGTTTGGTAATTAATAAAATCTGAGTTTGGCATAGGCTAGTATACTCGTTAAGTGCACAATATTCCACAGAAATTAATCGTCAGATCAAAACTTGAAATGAAAAAATACTTAATTATTTATATTTCAATGTGATATGCTACTTGTTTAATATAAAGTACTTATCTCTGAATACTTTAACCTCTTGCAAGCTATGAAAGTCACTATTCAATCAGTTTTATGTTTACTACTACTGAATATGTCTATAGCCGAGTTTTTACGGCTATGGTTTACCACATGTAATAATATGATTACATCATATAGCAAAGAGACTGTCAGTCCTGCAAACTGGGTGTCATGATCGATCAAAGTGCTGTATGAAAAAAATGGGCGTGTACACAATATCTACCAGTCTACTGCTCAAGTTGCATGCAATCAAGAAGAAATAAACTACCTTGAGAGTGGTCTGTTACAGTTGTGTTATAATTTCATCTGTTTCTGTAATCACGACATTTCCCAGTCATCTGATACACTTTATCGCTGCTGGGTTTACCGACACGTCCATCTCACAAATCCTACTTTCACTTTGATATATTTACACTTTTTTGTCACATGTCTGCATTGTATGTATTTATTTCCGGTTGAAATTTGGCGGAAAAATGGTCCGTCTTCTATGTTTAACAGATAGATATCAATAGCTATTTAAAAGATGAAACTCTTGTTTTGTGGGGAATGGTATTTATCATTTATTAAATATTGATAATAAACTTATAAAAGTCAGTAAACATCGTTCGTCTCAACATTATGTAAACAATTGGTGGCCATACTCCTATGTAAACAAAGTTTTAAACGGAGAGTAGGGTATACAGGTATATACCGATATATGTTCAAAAACACCGCTGTCTATTTTTAGTGTAAGGTATTCACTATATGATATTTCTCTCAACGTTCTTCTAAAATATCAGTCACTTTTCATTAAAACAGTAATTCACTTTTCGAGGTTAGTTAAAAAAAATGTATCTGAGCTGCGTGTGGACAAAAACACCCACGTATGATGCCTGTTGCATTCACGTTTAGTACAGGCGTCAATTTTTTTTTAATTTCTGTTTGTTTGCACAGTTACCACTAACAAGGAATCTATGCATGCTTTATGCAGATAAAAATGTTTTTACAGTTTTAACGAGAACAATTTTTTCTTGTTGTTTACTTTAATAAAATTAATTGATTCTTAACATGTTCAAATGACTGCCTAAAATTTTTTAAACTTTAAACTTGATCTAATTATATGAGTTCAGAAATCAGAATTTGAATTAGAACATTAGAATGTTTTAGACAGATTTAATTCAAGCATTTTGAGTAATGAAATTGTTACAGTAATTCACTTTTCATATGGCCCATGGAAGTTAAATTTTGTATCTGAGCTGCTTGTTGACAAATACCTACACCTGGTGTTAGATGTGACATGTAGCATGTTAAGGTAGGATTCTTCTCATACTTCTTGTATTTAGATGTTAATGAAAATTTCATAGAATCCATAGGCGCTCCCCATTCTGTAAATGACGTATGATAAGTAAGAGGTCTACCCCTCTCTACTATAAAATAACCAAGGCTTGCAACTAGCCGCCATTATGGATTTCGCCTGGGACCTCTGACTGACTTACTTCAAGGGTTTCTGGGGTATACTTGGCTGTTTATCAGCATCTGGTACTCTAATTTATTGAAATAAAATATTTGCAATTTTTTATTCAGCACCATTCCGTCGCTTTCTCGCGTTTTCAAACATTTCTCTATTACTCCGTCACACATAGCTGATCTTGGTCGGAAGAATTCGATTTCGTCGATTTTCAACAACTCGTTCGAAAATAACTTTCGGAAGTTTGACAATATAGTGGGGAAAAGTACATAGGCGCTTGGTTTCAGGATGGTATTTTATGTGTTACGTTTTTTTCTAGGTGTGTCTAAATACCCTCATTAAAATAAAAATGAAAATTCTCTGAAATTAGCACGTTTTAAAAATGTCATATTTACAGTATAAACTCTCACACGGGCTTGTGTAGAGAAAAAAAATCAGTTAGAAAAATAAGACTATACAATTTTTTTTATTTTCTGTACACAATCCCTGTAATACTCTTTGAGAAAATTAAAAAAATAGTACCTCGGAGAGAAAAAAACTTAAACAGAACCTTGCGCAGCACAGTTAAGGTTACAAAAAGAAGGCGGAGCCTAATTTGTACGGGAAAACTTGACTATGACATCATACACAATATACGTCATACAACATTTCTAAAATACCACAAAATGATTTATCTGCTTATTTTTTCATCAAACTACATAAAAACTTACTACAGCGTGTTGTTTTGTCGTTAGTTAAATTCCACATAACAAGTTATAAACAATGCACTGATTGCAATACACTTGTCAATATGACTCATTTCTTACAACGTGACGTAGTTTGTATGCAGTGAGAGACAAATCAAGTAATATTTTCTCAACAAAATATGTATTCTCTAATTAAATAAAATATTATTTACAGATATTCTATCCAATAACTTGAATTTAATGTCTTCTTCACTATTTTATTAATATATTTTCTGTACATTGCGTATTTAATTGACACTGCCGTATATTTGTATGCAAGTACATCGGAAGGTAATGTGGGGGTCTTAATAAATCGATCTAGTGCAAGGGCATACACTCTATGGATCAAAGTAAGCTTTTATATTTCAACTTTAGAACTAATAAGGTATCTGAAAAGTGCTGCGATCCTGATGAAATCTGAAAAACAGTTTAATTATATCAGTATTTCATGCTGCTTACCAGCAAAAAATATAGCATTCGGTCATACAAGTATAATTTTAACAATAATATTGCAAATTTAACAGGATATACTTTTTAAAACTACGATAAATGTTGAAAATATTTATATACTAAACTTGGAAATTTAACTTGGTTATGCCCTTGCACTATTGATATTTATATGTAACATCAATACTTCAAGTCAATGTGCTAAAATCACGTGACTGCCGCATTTTAGTTTATAAAATATAATTGTCCTCGATATGTAGTTACTAATCATAATTACAATTATCCGATATAAATAATGTACTAAAAATAATCGCCATCCCGATTACGAATACACTTTTAAATACAAAATTTAGCCGATATTTCCATTGCGCACCTTAACTGTACTGCGTGATCTTTTTTAGTATCACAGGGTATGGATTTTTATAAAAGGCTAGTTTTAGCTTAAATTTCGGATTTTTATAGTACCAATACTTTGTGAATATGTCATAGAAAACTATTTTAGTCAAAAAAAGTCAAAGAACCCTTGAAGTACGCAACACGGAAAGGGAGAGGGGTCCCGTCCCCAAGCACATGTGAAGAAAATAAGCTGATCAGTTAAGAAAAATTAGTACCTCTCTCCGAGGTACTATTTTTTTTCTATTTTCTTACCAATTGTTTGGCTTTTTACCGAGTTCCGTCTACCTGGTAGCTTTAATGACATTCGATCCCGATGCGTTTAATACCTGTTAGTTAGAAAATATGGCACCCGGCCATCTTGATTACTTAAAGCCAAACCTTATAGCATATTTAGCTCACTCATTGTCACTTGAACCGCGTTTTCTAGCATTTTATGAATTTCTCGCAAAACTTACAGTTTCAAAATATGATAAAACAATCATTATAAAATATAAACACAAATATATTTAAATAACTGCATGTTCCAATTATTCAGACGTCTAGACGATTTGTAAAATTATTTCAGCAAATATTTGTGAGCTCTCATTTAATCACATCTTTCTCATGATTGCAAATCACGCAATCATTCCCTCACATGTTTTGTCAATCAGTTTTTCAGTTTCTGACATTTCATCTGATATAGCAATTTTTTCCGGGTTTGAAAAGTCATCCCCAAGATTAAATTTAAAATTAAAAATCATCAAAAGATGGTAAATTTGCTGTAGTAATTTTAAGACTTTTTAAAAAATCATAATTCTTGTTATTTCAACTTACATTATAAGTGGTAAATTAAAGACACTTGGTAGAAAAAGAAATCAATTTCTCTCCTTTTTCTTCTTCTTCTTCTTTTTTTTTTTTTTTTTTTTTTTTTTTTTTTTTGCTAATCCTGGTCATGGCACCAAAATGACTTAGCAAGTGTGAGGCAAAAATTCAAAAAATGATTGGAAATATTTAAATCAATTAAGAACTGTGGGTCGTACAGTGAATCGTATAGTGGCTCGCCCTGTCGTGACTCTCTGTAGATCTTTGCTCGGAATATTTCCGATCAGTTCTAAGAGTGTGTCTGGTATGTTAAAATCTCATTGCTCATTTGTTTTAAGCAAAGTTCATCCATTCCCCCTTATCTGCGTCCCCAGATAGATAGACACCCTGGTAGCTTACACTGTTCTTAATCCAATTACAATATTTATTTATACTTGCGGAAATGTATTACACGTATATTCAAATTCTGCTTGGAAAAGAGATCAATACATGTTAAAAAGTTTACTTTTCTATTATTTTCATTAACATAAATTTCTGAAACCATAAAGAGTTACATTAATTTGGTTACTCTCTCTCTCTCTCTCTCTCTCTCTCTCTCTCTCTCTCTCTCTCTCTCTCTTATCATCATTCAGAAGATACATTTTTTCGTAATTTCTAATACATGTACATGAATATTTTTTTTCCATCTATATGGGTTTTTTTTACAGAATTAACATGTACTGTCCTCAATGAGCCCGAGTGTAGATAAAAGATTCCGTGCCGTAGGCCTATTGCTTGCCTTGGCGGCCCAGCAGTCACTTATAAATGTCTGTATTTCTCGTGGTGGTGGATACTTATGGTCGAGGCTGGGTCGTACTCCTTCTATAACGTTCTCCTTAATAAAAATAAAATTATTTTAAGTAGGGAACTTTATATTAATATGAAAATGAAAATATCCGTAAGGTATTTTTTTAAACTAAGATTTAATTAGGACAATCTTTTGTACTATAAATGGGGAGAAATTCTCTCAAAATTAATTTTAAAAAATCAAGAATATTCCTTATGGAAGGATTCTCTCATATTTATTGTGTTAAAAATTACAGGAAATGACATTTTCAAGGATCCACGTGGACATTTCAACTTTGGCCTTTCTATTTTACTGTTAGTTGCATTCATTATTTTTTCTCTTCCCAATGACGTATTAAAATTTCAAATTTGTTAATTTTATCAGTACAAATGATTTAAAGGACTCAGAACTTTAAATATATAATTCTTGTTTAACAATAGAAATGTACCGTTCATTGTAGAAAATATGTATGATATCGCTTACCTTTACAGACCAATAATTCGTTATGATGTCACGATATAAATCCTCACTAAAAACCTTTCTGCCGTACCACATTTCCCAAACCATAATACCAAGACTAAAAATGTCTGCTGACGTATTATATATCTGTCCTTTGAACACTTCCGGTGCCATGGAAACAGGGGTTCCTATGATTATTCCAGTCAGGAGATTTTCTGGTTTAGATAGGCCTAAGCCTGCAATTTTAGCTATATTATCCTTGACCTTTAAATAAGTAAGCATAAATAAGAATAAATAAGCAACAAATCATGTGTAATTATTGTTAAAGCTCTTGCCATATAAAATATAGAATATTACAAAAACAATTATAACTAAAAACGATCTCGGTGCGAGCAACGAGAGATCTTCCGTCCGATTCTGAAATAATAAAAACAAAAATTCGAGCTGAAAAAAGAAATAAAAAATTCGGACACACGGGGGATCGAACCTGGGTGATAATCCAAAATTTAAATGTAAAGATCTCGAGATTGGATTTTTCGATTCAAAAGGAAATTACATATTTAGTATTCTTCAGAGGATCCCTAATAACCATAATAATATCAAAGAAAATTATTAAAAACAAAAAAGTTAAAAATTGGACCTGTTAAAATTGGCTTCCGATAGCGACCGGAAGTAATGACGACGAACAAAATGTCGCCTCCTGGGTAGTGTTGATCACCATCTATAATCTCTGAAAGTTTCACATTGATATCTTTTCCCGTTATTAAGATTATACGTGGACAATATGTCATTTTAAAATTCAGAAAATGGTCCGTAAATTGGCAACGGGAAGGAATTTCCAAAAAATTTCTCATAAGTACATGTATCTAGACTATTTAACAACACATCTTTTCTGAAGATTTCATGTAATGCAACCTAGTCGTTGTCGAGAAATCATGTCAGAAAAAAATAAAATGAAGAAGAAAAAACACAATAACTATAAGGTCTTCCGTGAAGTCGGAAGACTTTAATTACTTTTAAAATAGTCTTTCAGGTTTCTAGCTACAAAGTTGAACTTAGATAACATGTAAAGAAAACTGTTACGAAACCTCTTCAATGTCGTCCTAAGCACCTGAGTCCACCTCTGGAGTTTCTATGAGTCGGTGTCTTAAGTCCTGATCATGGATTTGTATTTATGTTCAGAGATTTATTTTAAGCTCAATCACTGTTCGTTATCTTCACCTTGTATCTTATGTATGTATCTTAAATTCTTAACCATTATTCAAGCCCTCAAACTTGGGCTTTCTTAATTTCAATAATCTTTTTTTCTGCTCCTCAGTCAGGATAGATAACTCTTAGATTTTCTATTAAACTTTCAAGTCTCAAAATAAAGCTTGAACTAAAACTTTTTTTAATCAATGCAACGATTTTAATTCACAAGCATATCAATATGATTTAAGGTTCTCTAAAAAGAGAACGTCTTTTAGAAGGTAAACATTAAACTGTACCAATCCCAGTATAGAATTAAATAGATCTTTAGAAAAATCGATTTTTCAATATAGCAGAAGATAGTCATGTTTATTAGCATAATATGAATTTAGAAGTGATCTGTGATACATAAAAGCTTTTTACTCTATTTCTTATGTAATTAATCGTTGAAGTACTGTAGACATCTTTAATTTCACTAGTCTAAAATATCACGGTTTGTTAGAAAGTTTTCCTTTCACGGTGGTAAAAATATTCAGGTGCTTTGTCTGTTTTTAGCTAAAAATGAAGTAAATTAATAACCACGATGGTTTAAAATTCGCGAAAATTTTTTTAAACTTAAACATAGTGAAATTTAAAACACCATGATGTATTCTTCTTCTACCCTAAGTCGAAGAACTTAAGTATCGTATAAGTAAGTATTAAGTAAATAAGTGAGTAAGTTACAAAAGTATATGTTATATTGGCATGTGTATTGATACATTAATACAGTGCATTAAACTTAGTTTCTTACACTAGGCTTTACTGATCTATACGTTGCTGTTAAAATTTTTGAAAAGATGTGTACAAAGGCACATATTCAAAGAATAACTTTCAATTTCATGATGTGAACAATCGATTTGGTTGCGTGATAATTTGCCAATCGATTGATCACGTCATAAAATGGAAAAATCTGATAGTTTTTCCTTATATATACATGCTCTTGATTCCACCAATCCACGTGCTACAAGCCCTGCTTCTGTCTAGCTATTTTTCCCGCCCTGCACGTGATTTTTTAACCGCGTCTATTGAGAACCAGTGCATTCATGAAGAAATAAAGAACATTAACTATTTGTAATTTTATCTCGGACAAAGACATTGAAAATGCAAATATAAGAAGATAAATGATATTAGAATAAGTATTATAAACTTGCTAATTACCCCTAATGTCTGAATACCACTGGTGTTTCTCCTAAAACATATTTGTTGATCAATTTTTAACTAGGAAATACATAGCGAATGATTTTATTCATGTTTCCTAAAGTTTTGTTTTGAGATCTTATTAATTTCCCTTTATAACAACAAATCTATTTTAACAATAGCATTTGAGGAATTTATTATTAAGTATCTATAACATTATGTATGAATTCATAGTCAATGTTGTAAACATTTTAATTACTGAAGGCTTGATTATGAGAATCCAAGGATCGAATTTCTTCTATTAAGTTTTTTGATCATGTTTTCAGTTTTTAGCTTTTTTAAACTTTGATTTACTACAGTGACTTTGACACTTTGATTTACTAAAGTGATAACTATGAAAACTTTGATTTACTATGGTGATCACTATGGAAACTTCGATTTACTATGGAAAAACTTTGATTCACTGTGGTAAAAACTTTGATTTACTTATAGTGATAACTGAGACACTTTAGTGATCACTTTGAAAACTTTGATTGACAATAGTAATCACTTTGAAAGCTTTGATTTGCTTTAGTGATCATTTTGAAAACTTTGATTTACTAAAGTTAACTATAGTTAACCATAGTATTTTTGTTAAGGTATTGTGAGAACATCATTGAATTAAAACTCACCAAAATGTTTGACAATATAAGATTCCTGTGAACGAAATCCTTGTCATATAGATAAACCAGACCGTTCAATATGCCTTTCAACATCTTCAGAAAAAATGCCCACTCATCGAGGAAATCCTGACTGTTTCTCTCATTTTCTTTGAATAAATGACATGTTTTCCTTCGCAGTTTGTTACAGTCGCAGATTTCCATTGGATGACCGTAACACAAAACAAGCTCTTCCAGTGAGCAATCGCACATTTCCATGAAAATATGCAGATACCTTCTTTCTTGCCGATCCGTTTCAATGGCGATCCCAAAGCAATTAACGATATTCTCATGTTGAAATTCCCTGTTGCAAGTCAAAATATTTTTAGATATTACTCGGTATTAAAAAAAAATGAAATTTAAAGATAATTCATGCTAAAATGAAGTAAACAAATTGTGAGCACTAGTAAACGTAGACCTCTGAGTGCAATATATCCTCCCCTTTTGACAGATATAAATCAGTTGTGTATCCCTCGTTACGATAGGGTTACGTAGAAAAGTACGCATTCACAACAGCGTGGAAAAGAATGACCTAACAATTCTAATGAAAAAGGTCAACCTTCGGTCTATCGAATAGATAGAATGTATTTATTTTACAAACAATGTTCGCCATTAGCGGATGGAAAATTGTAGGAATATATATATACAGGGTATATGTCCTATGTATGTACGATTAGACGAAAACATACCAGTAGCGTTTTATTTATTCTTATTTATATTTTTCTATTTATTTACTTATTCATTTAGACCATATTTTCATATAAACTTCTTAAGATTTGCTTTCTCGGAAAGATGAAGATAAATACTCATTTTTTTCTATGTTTACATTTCTTTCAATTTATTTTTAAGACAATGTTTTTAGATATACACATGTACATGTACCTAAGATTTGCTGCCTCGGTGAGATGAAGGTAAATGTTCTCTGAATGTAATGGTGACGTCATTTTCTTCACTGCGCAATGTATCTGTTTTTGTCCGATCTCTACGTCACATGACAAAACACTAGAGTATGCCCCTCTTCCCAAAGGCACTAACTCTCTTATAATGCGTGGTTGGCACTCTGGAAGGTGTTGCAACTTAAAACAAAGAAGTTCTCCAACTATTTCTTTGCATTTTTGTTCAACCGGTGTGTATTCCTGTCTTACAGTCTGTGAATCTCGGCTTTCTTTCACTATATTTTCTATAAGTTCTTCATCAGCCTCAATTTGTTTGGGAATAATATCCTTACAGACCAGTTTTATGCTGGACATGAAATCTTTTAAATATGTCTGTTTTAAACCGTTAAATATTAGTTCAGTGTTGTAATATTTCAATTCTTCTTCTGCCCATTTTAAAATGTGTGATAATTTATTTTCTCTGTAATGCTTTATTTTCTGTTTTTCTTCTACGACATTTTTGACATGCATCCCGATAGCCACGGGAAGTGCCAAAACACTAGCTCCAATTACGCACGGCAGCCATATAGGGGCAAAAGCGGCAACAGCAATGCGTTCTTGTAGTGGAATTATGGAACTCGATTTTGATGCATCAAAATCAGAGGAGTTCTCCGCTGCTTGAGGAACGTTCCCATCAGCAATTGGAGGTTTAATTCCTTGAATGATTTGGTCTATTTCTGTGTAGTTTCCTTTGATTAATTTACACTCTTTGATGAACAAATCAAACAGGTGTGAGGAGGTTCCCTCAATGTCATTTTCTTGACACCACTGGACGATTTCATTGTTGAATTTATCTTGTATTTTTTGTTTTGATTTATATTTTATAACATCCAAATCTCTGCCATCTGGCAGATCATCTGTAAATAAAGAATATAACGCGAAGAGTTGGTTGGTTTTGAAAATTAGCTATTTTTAATGTAAAAAAGTAAATAAATTAACAGTAAAAATTATTATTTAAATATATATATATATATATATATATATATATATATATATATATATATATATATATATATATATATATATATATATATATATATATATATATATACATGTATTCAATCAACATACAGTAAATATAAAAGAAGTGAGATAAATATTCTCTAAATTCTCTCTGAATTTGTATATAATATCAAAGTATCAAAGGGTTTCTTATTTTTGGTCTTCCATCGTTTTCTTATTAATAGTAATATATGTATTATAAAAGATTTACTTCATTATAATAACTTTCAACAAATCTTCTCACCCTTTTGCCATTGAAACATCCGATTCTTTGTTTCCTGATTGTTAAGGTGTTCGGTTAATTGTTCTGCAATATGCTTGCATTTCAGCTTTGCAGCTAATTCCATTCTATTTTTCACCTAAAAAGTATAATCAAGAAATAAAGTCCGTGTTTTCGTGAATGATGCAGGATAACCTCCGAGGTCGAGAAATGTTGTTTGAAAGATAAAAGCCGAGGCGTTAGCCGAGTCTTTTATATTTCAAACAACATTTCATGACCGAGTTAGGGTTAAATTACAAATGACACCTAAAGCTTCACCCCTACTCCCCCTTCAAACAAACTCTATCAAGATTTAAAGCCTTGAACATGAGTGAGATCCCACAAAATTTTGAAAAAAGGGGAAAGGGGGTAAATAAAATAAAAATAAAAACAAATGTCTATTCCAAAAATAATCTAGGAAACATATTTTGTGTTGCAAAAGCCAGAACGAAATTTAAAATATTTTTTAAAAATTAGGGAATGAAAAGAAAGATTGGAATTTATAGAAAAACAGACTGTATGGGTGTCAGATAAAAAAGTTTTTATTGTATTACTATTGCCGTTTGTATGACTTCTTTAACTTACATCCGCTGTTTCCTCTTTTAATGTCTTCAGTCTCCTTTCCACTTTCATTTTCATCATTTCTATCTCTTCTTGATTCTGCCTTGTTGCATTTATTCTGGCTATAACCTTCACAAGAAGTCTATCCAGAAAAATCTGTAGCCAACTGGAATAAAAAGGGTTGCTTTTTTTGTCTGTCTGTGAGAACATGTATATATCAAATAAAGTACGACTGGTGTGGTTCGGATACCAACTTTTCTAAGGAAGTGAATTTGTATTTCAAAGTTCTATTAATAAATCTTATTCGGATACCAACTAATGGAATTAAACAGGATTAGAAAAATTTTAATCAAATGAATTTGCTATAGAAACTTAAAGTTGCCATCGTTATTAGTAGTTGGGATATAACAACTAAATTCGTTATTAGCAACGTTTGGATTACAAAACATTGGGATATAGCAACTTAAAGTTTCCATCGTTTATAACCAACATTTGGATAAAATATATATGTGGATGATCCCTAAATCAAGCCTTACTCTACATGTCTCCTGACTCTTCGCTCTAAACTGGCACCGACCAGGCGATCAATACCAGAAAGTAGACTCTTAAACTTATCTGTGTAGCCTAATCCAGCTTCAGCTCTTCTCAGATCCTGTCAAAATTTAGTTTCTTTTTAGTAAGTGATATGAATGTGAAAACTGTTAAAATACATATAATCGTGGGGTCAAATTTTAAAGGTTTCAGGAAAAGAATTGGGTTTGAGGGGAATTAATTTCTTTGTAGAAGAATGTTTAGTAGTAATGCATAAGAAATTCTAAATTTCGTCGAGGTCATTATTCGTGGGTCTCTCAATGCCTCGAAAACAACGAAAATCAGACCACAACAAAAATCAGTGATTTCACAGTTTGCATATTTGATTAGAGATAGAGACTAATGACATACAATGTAGTTTATAACCTTGATCCTAATGTGATTCATAAATCACATTTTAAGTATATAATACAATTATTTATCAAAGTTATTTATCATGCAAATGTCTTACATTTGCAATTTTCTTTTTTATTATAACAAGTAAATCCAGTTTAATTCGAGAGTAAAAATGTGTACATAACTAAGCGTCATATTGTTTAATCTTTGAACTTTGTAGTTGCTTCAAAAGGCATGGTTAGATAGATAGGGTTAAAAGAAGAGGAGATAAAAATAATAATATCAAGTTTTATACTTCAGAAAGAAAAACATTTCATGTAAAATATGCATGCAAAGGGTCAAAAGAGTTAAAGTAAAAATGAGGTTGGATTCTAGTGAACTACAAATCACTTGTTCAATCAATCAACTTTTGTAATTTTTCTTCCGTGTCGGTTTACTTAATTTTTCCCACTTAAGAAACAAACTGTACATACAAAACATCATCAGTATAAAAGGTAATCATTTACATCTTTTAAAAATATCCCATATTTCCTGGTTTTATATGTAGCTTATTAAGATTATCTGATTTTCCTTTTAACATTCAGTTTTTTATTAACAATTTACATATGGAAGTGTTTTATTTCATAAAAAAGTCAGAACTATTAGGCGTGATGACATAAGGACCTTCAAATGATCAATCTTTATATAATTCACATGGTATTCTTTTCATGAAAGCTTATTCTTTTTATAAACACAAAAAACTTCATCTGACCAGTATATTTTCGTCTTCATACCTCTGCCGTGGACAGTTTAAACATCTGATTTGTAATGTCCACGTCACGCCTGGTTGGCCAATGGGTCTTCAGTTTTCTCGAAATGTCTTCCCATACTCTCTGCTCTTCCTCTTTTGGAACTTGGTCCCATTTGTTACAGACAAAGATTGCACACTCAGGATCAAATTGCTGTAAGCGGCCAATATTTTCGAATTTTTTCTGTTTTTGAAATATTCTTATGAGCTGTAAAGAATAATCGTTAATTTTCAATGATTACTTATTTTTGCTATATAGATTCTTTGTTTTAATTTCTGAAGGTTTCGTCAAAGGTCAACATGTCCAAAAATTTATTTTTACAATAGCCCCAAAACAATGTGGGATATAAAGTTAAAACTTTTACAGTTTATAAATTTATCATTGATTAACAGAATGACAGTATCACTTGATAAAAAAAAAATACTTGGAAAAAATATTAATTGAGAAAAATTCTTCTTAATAATGCATATATTTTCAAAAAATACACCTAATTAATTCCGTGCTCTTAGTGAAAACCATTATTGCAGAAACAAAATTTGTTTATCAATGAAGGGCAAGTTGGACTTGGATAGCCTCTGAAAAGTTGTTTTCCCTGTTTATTTTGTCCAAATGTTAAGACTTGAAAGTGCATTGCAAATGGTGTATTTTATAGGGGTCTTGTCTTTATACATGTCGTGCTTTCAATAACAGCCTTTCAGAGACCATTCACGTCCAACTTGCCCTTCAATGATAAACATATATTATTTCTGCAATGATGGTTTTCACAAAAAAGAAAGAATTAAGCAGGTGCATTTTTCTTTAAATATGCACATTTTCTAATACAATTTTTCTCAAAAAATATCTTTTAAAAAAAATATTTGTTTGCAAGCGATACTTTCTATTTATCAATCAATGATATATTTATAAACTGTAAACGTTTTGACTTTATACCACACATAGTTTTGGAGCTATTGTAAAAATATTTTTTTTAGTCATGTTGACCTTTGACGAAACCTTAACTGATGTGTACATCATTACATGTATGAGCGAGAAAAATATAAATTAGTGACTAATATTAACATGATTAAAACATGTATAATTCATATATCCTTATAATCATACAGAAATATTCATTATGAATATAGAGTATTTCCTAAATATAATGATACAATTATAATATTAATGAATAAATTTCATAAAAAATATTTTATGAAATAATTTCTATGGTCGGTACAATGATCTTGTCAGGAAATACAATCTATCATCAAGTCAAATGCTAACTGACGACTTTTATCTTAAATGTTAGGCTAATATTTACACACAGAATTCGATCCACGAATTGTCTTGGGATTTTTCTCGGTCATGACAACGAGTATACTGCGGGTGTGAAGGTCGTCAAGGGATGCTCACTGTTCTGTGGCATTCTGATGCTTTAGATGTCTGTGTTTGATTTTTTTTTCTGTTTATCCTTCGTTGTATACTTTGAATGGAATATTTAGCTTGACTACAGATTGTTATCTCCAAATTTTATCATTATATACAAAACAGAAATATAAATACCCTATCGTCTTGAACCCCTCCAGTATTGGTCATGTTTATGACGTAGATAAAAGCTACAGCCTCCGTCAGAAAGTTGAGTAGAACCTCAGTCATCTCTTCATTTCCTCTAATACCAGGTGTTTCAACAATCGTGGCGTGTTCCTATGGAGGCATTTTATTTACTTGAAATCATTACGATAAATTATTATACGAGGGTTGTTCGAAAAGTTCATGGACTGCTGTCATATTTTTTTTTATTTGACATCATATATTATCCATATTTGGTATAGATTTTTTAACAGTAAATCCAAATGATTTGTATCAATATTTTTTCAAATATCACGATTTATTCAAATTTTATCCAGATTTTAAAAATGCAAAAATGGGATCGCAGAGAAAGTCAAAATTTAGTAAGTTACAAACAATACACTAAATAATATCTGTAGTCAAATTCTCTGTAAAGTGGAGCAGAAACCAAAAACAACCTATACCTAGAAATTCAAATTAAGAATTATGAAAACGGAAACACATCCTAGACTTTTAAGTTAAGAACAGTTACATCGATTTGTATTCCAAATTATAGCTTAATATTTTGCTTTGTTGAAAAGAAATCAACTTGAGAAGATAGGTATTCCTCATTGAAAACGACAAAAACGATGACGTTTGAGAACGCAACGGAGCAGCAGATAACGATGCAATTTTGTGTTTTACTCAGGGAAAATTCTGAATAAACTAAAAAAATGCTAGAAGAATAAAAAAATTTGTCATAAGCGAGATGTGCACGTGTGTACAAATAGTACAGGGAGTAACTGAGAGACAGAGATTCTGCAGTTTGTGAAGAAACGGTTTATCTGTAAAATCTGGAAAAAAAATGTGAAAAGTTGGAACGTCAAGGAAAGACATAAGCGCTTCAGAGTTGCTTATCCTGTGAAACCAGAGTTAAATTATCAAAGAAATTATAAAATTAAAACCTTAACAAAGGAAACTATACAACGAGAGCAAAATAAAAAATGTCGGGTATTAGAAAAATGATTTAATGGTTTGGCATTGGATTATTATGTGTGAAATACAGCTCAACACACTTTTTAAAATCACATGGTTTTTTGCACAAATTAAAGTAACATTTTTTTTGGAATAAAACTTAAAATTATTGAGTTTCAGTACGAGGCATATCCCTTATATTATTAAATATTTCATGTTAAAGGTGCATATCCTCTAAAATCATTATCTTAAGTTTTAAAAGTCAAATGTTCTGAAAGGGAATTTGTTTATAAATTGTATGATGTTAAATGTGTATGTTTCTACCATTTGTATTTACAAATTAATTAATCAAACTGTATTTGATACTATTTCGTTGAAATGTTCAAATTGATTTCGTACAGATGAGTATTTTTCTAGGTACTTTGCACATTTTCAATGCGTGTCTTGGTTTTGTCGAAATGCAGCGCCGAAAAATGACAAAACTGCATAAAGAAATCATGTGAAAGGATAGGATAATAAAGTATTTTTTATTTTTCAACATTGTAAATTGTAAATATTGAAATTTTTTTTTTACATTTATGGTCTTAAACTTTGAAATTTTGCGTTGGTAGGTAACTTTCATGATGCTAGATTTCAGGAAGTTAACCTGAAATAATGCCATATTTTTAACATGAAAAGCAGTTTTTAACAGATGAGAAATACTTCTATCATCTTGCGCCTTAGTATCATATTAATGTACAGAAAATACAGAAATAACATTAACTGCACTGTTCCTCTATGAAGGCAAGGCAAAAGTATGCTTTAAAATGAATGGATACAAAGACGATTGCATTTGAAGAGAAACCATAAAAAACCATTTGGAAACTCTAGTAATATAACATCCAAGAGCGTATAAAAATCTTACCAATCATTATGTGTGAATTATGTTTAAAGTAATGGAATATGATAAAATTAAGTTATCAATCAATTTTAAAATATATTTTGTTGTCACGTTACACAATTTTGCATTATAACAATGTGACCTTAATTTGTGCGAAAAACCATGTGAGTTTAAAAAGTGCGTTGAGCTGTATATAGGGATAATATTTTTTAAAGAAATTCTTGACGCTATGTTTTGACGTAACATTGCGGTTCAATGTGCTCCGCGGGCACAAAATATATTGATATTAAAATGAGGTAAACTGATTTCTGTGAAATCGAATGGAACGAAACTCCACACAAAAAACAACAGAAATATTTTTACATTTTATATTGTGCTTATTTTAAATTTTTAATGAGTAATGTAACGAAGATTAACATCGTCCACGAACTTTTCGAACAACCCTCGTATATTGGCAGCAAGTTATCCTATGAAATTTTATTCGTAATATTTTTAAAGTTAAATTGGCTCTCTTTCCCCAGACTAACGCTCTTAAGACGTTGCACGAACAAGACGACTACACCGTGCACAAAAGCAAAAATTTTTAAAAAGTCATGTAATCAGACAACCGACCTGCAGCATTGGAAGAGGCCAGTAAATATCGATTTCTTTGTATTTTTCCACTGATTCTCCGGACCGGTCTACATTGATGTACTTGGAAAGTTGAGCTTCTGTGACATCTTTAAGAAAAGTTCTCTCTCCATTCGTCTTTATGACTTCCATTCGCTTGGTGGCGCTGTTGAATATTTGACAAATGGTGAAGGTAGAACCTACGACCTGACGCGGAAGCACATGTTCTCCCATAATGAGATTTAACAGGGACGATTTCCCTGCCCCTGTTTCACCTTATAACAAAATAAAGAACATTTATATGAATTACAAAAAATATTAATATTTTTATTTAATGATTTTTTTTTCTTTTTGCTAAAATTAATAGAGAATTCATGGTACAGTTATACCCCAAGAAAGAGGTAAATGTTTCATGTCGATACACTTTGATGCAATGTTAAGACACAAATACCAAAATAAATGCTCTTCATCGCAGTCCTTTAGACCTACCAGCTACGACAATAGGACAATGGCGTCTCTCTAGCTGTCTTCTGTACTTCATTACAGTACTAATATAACCATTATATTCCTTAGTCATCTCAGTACCAAGATTCTTCTCAAAGTTTGGCATTGTGAGCATGTCCAACAAAGAGGTGTATAGATCAGCCACTATCTTTCTCATTCTGGCATCTCGCTCTAGCATTTCTCCCATAACCTCACTGGACACCTGTTAATGTACAAAACGTGAGTATTTTACGTGTAATTGTAAAATGTACTTACATGTTAATATATGCATATAAAACAAGAGAACATAATGTGAACGAAATATTTCATCAACGCATGAATGTACTTAAAACATGCATTTGAAATTGTAACATCATGTTTTTTTAAATTTTATAAATACAGTTTTATTTAAGGAATGAATTTAATAGCTACCCAGTTTATACCGTATAAAATGGGTAGCTATTAAATTCATTGCTTATAATTTAATTTTCATTCATTTGATGTAAGAAAAAAGATGATTGTTCTAACAAAATGACTTCAAATTGTACAAAAGTTGAATGTAACGTCAGGCGGATTGATACGTTTTTGACACGTCATTGTGACGTAGGCAACCCATTTTATACGATATAAAATAAATTTTTTATCCAATCAAATACACCGTTACAACCAGAATTAAATTATGCTTTAAATTACTAGTAGTTCATTGTCTGAAAATATTATATTAAACCCCATGAAAACCCACTTGTGTGAATATTCCTTTAAGTGGCATTTATAATTTTTTTGTAATATGTTAAAAAATATACACAATAACAGTATCCTATATTTTCGAAAACAATGAAAAAGACACGCAGTACAGTTAATTATGTTGAAAACATAGAACCTCCGCTTCAGATCTATGGTTGTAATTTACTAGAATTTCTAAATTAATGAAAATAATAATCATTTTTTGTTTAGATTACATGTACATTAAAAGTATTTAACTATATAATACATTTATCATTGTAGCTGTCAAGAGTTTCAGGCTTAAAGAAAGAAAATAAAAAATGCATCAATTTCTCCACAGGGCATGTTAGAGCATTTAACATTTTTTAAAAGTATGCATGTGCTATATAATTTTGTTTTTCATTTTGGTAAAGATGAATCTCAGAAATGTTTTTTAAATATTCTATGAATAATTGTTGTTGTATATGTCAGTTGTTTCACATCCCCATAAAAGTTTTTTAACACAACTTTCTTCCATTTATATTAATAACATAAATTCACTACAATATACAGTGTAACATGGTTAATTTTGTTTTTTCAAAATGTAATGCTATTTTATTCTACAATGTGTATTTAGTAATCCAATAGCATATTACTGCATGTATATATTGTGTTGTAGGCGTAGCTATTCCCAAAAAAATGGACCAATGGATTCATTCAAGCAGCAAGTTAATCCATCATTTAAGGAAAATGGTATGCTAAATATTAGCTATAAACCAAACAATATTCCTGGCAAGATTATTGAACTGTTTTGATAATAAAACTTACAGTAGAATTGCAAACATGTAATATTCATAATTACATATGCAATCTATGTTGAATGTTTCAATGCATATTTTATTTCAATTTTTTTAAAACACAAATTACTTTCAATAATGGTATTTCCTGGTTTTTTCATATTTTCAGAATTCATTTTATCCATAAGAACATGAAGTGATGGAAATAATTTGCACCTGCCCAGCATTCCTACAGTCTGTCTTTGGATTTGAAAAAAAAATTTATTAAATAAATTTTCTAGATAAATAATAATTTGACTTTTTCATATATTTACTGTACAGCTGTTGAAAAGGCTATTAAGATTTGAAAATGCATATTTTGTCAATGTGTGGAGGGTATCAATGTCCATTAAGATCATATTTCCAGAATGCACATTGTGTTCAAAACAGGAGACTAAGGATCCCCCTAATTGATTCAAAACAGACAGGGGACCACCATTTGATTCTGAGGGAGGGAGGGGGGGGGCTAGCAAGTTTTTCCATGTCAGATTTTTCATGTCAATGAAGGACAGATTAATATTTACATTTCCGATCAATAAGATGGACAGATTATTTATTTATTTTCATCTTCATTGAAAAGTCTAACCTGCCAAAAAAAAAAAGAAGGTATGGTTTTAGCTTTATTGTGCCCTAACAATGTTATGTCATCAAAAAGTTTTGAAACTGGCTTAAATATTAGTTAAGTATATGACTATGATAAGTCAAAAAAGAATATGGCATAGAGGATTGCCATTCTGCAAATTTGACGTCATTAATGTGATGCATTTCTGTTATTTTAACAGAAAAAGCTTAAAATTAGCCAATTTCAAGGATAATTCTCCTTTAGAAAATAGTATCCACAGCCGTCGCCCACTTCAATTTTTTGATATGTTGTGCAAAAAAACAACAAAAAAATCATATATTTGAAAATCTTTGTGGGCGATGCCTGTGGACAATATTTTCTGAAAGAAAATTCCATTGAAAATTGGTGTCTTCTGCAACTTTTGAAGAAAATACGGGGAAATGCACATGTTTATGACGTCACAATTAGCATTTAAAAACAAATGGGAGAAAAATTATTCATATGATTTTTCTGCATGGAATGTCAGTTATTCAGAAAGCATTAGTTTTCATCTTCTACACCAGTTTCATTTTTTAGAAAATCGCAGGGCAAGATTTGTATAGAAACCATACTTTGTTCTTAAAAAAAACTCTGAATGTGGGAGCGGGAGATCACTGATCTGCGCCAGATTATTCATTTCTTCTCCAGTCCCTTCTTCTCCAATTGTAGACAGATTATTTATTTTCAACATTTTCAAGGACAAATTATTTATTTCTAAGATCTGCCCCCTCCCCTTCAGAATAAAATTGCCGTCCCCTTAACAAATACAGGAGTATACCCCAATCGTTTCCAATTAGTTCCTTAAACTTATAATTTGGTTCAAATCCTCTAAACAGTAGGAGGTCTGATTGAAAGCCATCGTAGAATGTTGTATGCGGAATTTTTATTAACTTCAGTATATGTACCATAGGCATCGGAAGCAAATTAAAGGGGGGGTGGCTAATTGAAAGGGGGGTCAAGCCCAGTCCGCATGTATATCTATTTAAAATTTACGAAGTAAACAAACTATATCAAGTACTAAAGAGTTATCCCCCATGCTTGGTCAATGATGCGTTTGAAAACTATAATTAGATTGACTCTTCCAAGATTTCAATTTTTAATCAAAAAGTGCAAGGGCAAGGCGACGATCTAAAAAGTATGTTTCTAATTATTTTCAATTATTTATTTTATTGTAACAGTATAGTTTTCAAAAAGTGATGCTCATTTCTTTGTATTCCCTTAATTAATTAATAATTCCCGATGAAATTAGGAAAATATCCTATTTTTCATACACTACTGTCTGTTTTAGCTGAATAAATTATATATATCGGAAAACTAACTGAATGAGCATCACTTTTGAGAAAGTATAGATACATAGGGACAACCTAAAACATTGTGCAGTTAATTTTTTGTATGCCTTGCCCTTGCACTTTTTGGTTAAATTTTACATTTCATTTTTTGACCTAAAATCGGAGCCCACGTGACCCTAGCGGGACACATGATGTCAAAAAATACCGATGTTAAAAGTGATGGACATACTCTTCAAGATAACATAAAGCTATTTTAATTAGAGTGTCTTGCTAAAAAATATAACTGTTAAACATTAAATGTATCCGTGAGTTTTTATAGAAAATGTTGCCTTAAGTGTACTGCGCACATTTTTGCTGACTTAATTAAAACAATGTACTTGTGATTTTCTTCTGTCAAGATTTGGCGAGCTTCTGTCTTTAATGGATTTTAGAACAAGATCCCGAATTTCTTCGATATCTTCCAGTGAGGAATAGTCCACGTCCATTTTATCCAGCTGACCACACAACTCATCCAAATCCATTCTCTTAACATCTTCGTGACGGCATATACAATCATCCATCTAAAACAGATGATCAAAAAATCAAAAAGATGAACAATATGTTATGGTTCCCGGCGACAAGGCTCGTAACCATGTTGCCTTTGCAAGGTTTATTTTTGATAACTTTATTTTTATCAGAACTTTGTTTTAATTCTTCATATGGAAATCCAGCTGACGCTCGCAGTCCATTTTCTGAAGATTGAATTCTTCAAAATCATATTTCATTAATTAAAACTTTTATTAGTAAAGCAAACCTACGTGCGATCAATCTATCCTACTTTTATTAAAGCAATTTGAGCTGCAACTTGGATGTCGGAATTTTTTATGTAAAATTGTAAAATCCTCTTTCAATGACAGATAAAATAACGTTAATTAACTTCTGTTGTTCATATTTAATATGCAATGAAAGAAGTATTGATAAGCTTCAATTGAATCAAAATTACATTATTGTCGTCCTGTACAATTATGATTTCTTACATAAAAGTGTATATGGAATTGTATGCAGAAGTTTTTTCTCCTGCTTTATTTAAGTCTTATTGATCATAAAGGTTTAAGCTACATACACATTATCATAGGGTTCGAAAAAGCCCTTGTAAACAGAGATACATTGCAGAGTCACGCGAATACTCTACTAAGCCCCTATCCTTGTACTCCTTAAAAATATATAAACTGCTTTAAACATGTTGAAGGACAAACTTCTTTCGTACTTGCTACAGCATATTCTGAAATCGAAGTATTAATCAGATATGGATCCTCAAAAACCTTTAAAAAAGAACTTTATGAAAATTTGAAATCGTGAAGTTTTTCAAAAGCAAGTGGTATCAAAACGTACGTCAACTTTTCCTAACAAAAATTACAACCATTCCCCGCGATAAATTAAAATTACAGTCTTTGATATCATATACAGCTGCTTCTTCAATACAATTTGAAGTAGACAATTTTCCTACCTTGTGATTTCTCATCAACAAAATTAAATTATTCATAAAGCCTTCCTATATAGTTTTCCAACAAAGTTTTGGGATTCCGATCTACTTTAATTGTCCCCTTTTATTAGCTGATCTGCTTTTATATTCTTAGGAAGGATTTAAAAACTCTTACACGAGAAGACTCCACTTGCTTTGCCCTTCAGCTCGACATTTAGATACAAATATATCGATGATGCATTATCAATTAAAAATACAATGTAGTTACTTCCATTCATATGTCGACATGAACTTGAAATAAAAAATTAAAAGACATTGCAGAGTCTGTGAATTATATATTTGAACGTTTCTTATGTACTTGTAATGTGCCTAAGTAAATGAAAACTACAAGTATGGATGTTCCTTCAAGTACATATGTGTCAATAAAATTCTAGAGAATTACATACATGTAAGATGAAAAAAAAATACACAATAACAGTATCCTATATTTTCAAACAACGAAAAAGCACAATTTTGCTGACTTAATTAAAACTCTTGATGTACTTGTGATTTTCTCCTGTCAAGATTTGGCGAGCATCTTTCGTTGATATCTTCCAATGAGGAATAGTCCACGTCCATCTTATCCATCTGATCACAGAGCTCATCCAAACCCATCCTCTCAACATCTTCCTCGCGGCATAAACAATCAGCCATCTAAAACGGGTGGTCAAAGAATTAAAGAGACTACTAGAACAAAATGTTATGGTTCCAAGCCGACAAGACTTGTAAAAATATCGCCTTTAATTGCAAGACTGATAATTATAACTGTATTTTAGAAGAGCCAGGTATCAAAATCCAACTTAAACATGTAATACTGGCGAATCAGTACTTTAAATTCTTCAAAATCACATTCTATTATTTTAATCTTGTAACCTTTTAACATTATACAGATTTACTGTCAACAAAGGTGAGTTTGATCTACTCTACCTACACTGGATTCCTAATGTCCGTAAGATACATTGCGGGTCTATCAATTGCTCTACTAAGTCCTTATCTTTACGCCTTACAAAATATTAACTGCTGTTTAGGAGAAAATTCAGAAATACTGTTCTACGATATTTTCTAGAAGTGGTGTGATTAAAATCGGGATATGGATCCTCAAAAACTCAAAAAAAAACTTCAAGAAAATTTAAAATCGAAAACATTTTCAAAAATTAATTGCATCAATACAATTCTTCTTTTTAAAAAAAGATCCATTCCTCGCGATAAATGAAAAAATCGAAGCCTTTTATATCAAACACAGCTGCTTAATAAAACTGGCTGTAGAAAATGTTCCTATCTTGTGATTTGTCATCAACAAAATGACATTATTTATTTTGTCTTCAATCATGGTTTTCCATCTAATTGTTTGGGTTCCTATCTACTCTGTCCCCTTTTATAAGCTGACCCGCTTTTATATTCTTATGAAGCAGAATTGATTCAAAATTAAAACTCTTACATGAGAAGAACAATCCACTTGACGTGCCCGTCAACTTGACATGTAGATACAAATATATCGATGATGCAGTATCAATTAAAAATAGTTACAGTCATCAATATGTCGACTTGAACTTAAAATAAACTAGAACTGTCCAAACGAACTTTTCAATAATAAAGATATGTATCAAAAACAAATTATGAAATTTTTATTCCATATATATAACCTTGGGTCAAGGTCATGACACACCCTTGGGTCATGATCTTTCAAAATGATACCAAGTTTATCCATAAGAAAGATATGGACTGGACACAAATTATGAATTTTTTCGTCCACTGACCTTGAACTTCCCCAAATGACCTTTGGTCAAGGTCATGACACACCCTTGGGTCATTCTTTGTGTGAAAAAACCTACCAAGTTTATGCATAATTATAAAATTTTAAAATCAATTTTTGGTCAAGGTCATGACACACCCTTGAAAAATTTATCCATAAAAAAAATAACACTGTATAAAAAATTTTCTTCCATGACCTAAATTTCTCATTGGACCTTGGGTGAAAAACACAAATAGGCAATCTTTGTGTGAAATGAGAACCTACCAAGTTTATCTATAAAAGATATCACATGATTTATGAAAATTTTCTTCCAGTGACCTTGAACTTCCATAAATGACCTTAGGTCAAGGGCATTAGCAATCTTTGTGTGAAATAGAACCTACCAAGTTAAACCATCAGAAAGATATGGACTGGGTAAAATTATGAAATTTTTCTTCCAGTGAACTGGAACTTCACCGAAAAATGACACACCCTTAATGAGCAATCTTATTGTGGAGTAGTAGATTCTAATGTCCCTCTGTAAGAAAGATATGGACCGAACACGAATGCACAGTAACAGACACAGATACAGACAGAGATGGACAGACGGACAGACGGACAGACGGACAAGGTATCATTATATAATAGAAGTCTGTTACATATATATTTGTCAAGTCAAACAGAGATTAAATGATCAATACATGGATATTCAAAAGTGGAATTGTGAAGCTCAAGAATCTTCAAAAACTTCAAATTATAAAATTTTTGAAATCAATTTTGAGTGCGAAAAATATTTAACACTGTTATCATATAAATTTAGAAAAAAACTTTTGTTAAGATTAGAACCACAAATTACCTAACTCCTTCCAATTGAAATAGGTAGGTGGAATGGTACTCAAAAAATGAAAGAGTTTGTAGCTTATGCAGTAGTAACCAGATAGGCGATGAATATCATTATATATTAGAATGTAGTGCTTTAAACCAATTGAGAAAGGAAAAAAAAATTTTGTACAAATATTATCAAGTTTTGTGAAGTCATTGCCAAAATTATGCTGATTTTTGTTTGAAATTAATACTATTGTCTGTTCTCCTTAGTCATCACCTTCTGGTTGACCCAATAGTATGGACTACATATGTATACTTTCTAAAACAATGTAAATTGCTGATAAACAAGTTGCTGAAACAAGAATAACAACATTCTTATTTAAAGTCATCATTTCGTAAATTCTCTGGTCGATGCAATGACTTTATCAGCAAATACATTTCATTTATCAGTCAAATGCTGATTGACATTTTTCATACTAAATGTAAGGCCAATATTTACATAATGAAGTGTCGAAGGATTCGGCGGTTGTGATCGATAAGCAGAGGATGCTCACTTCTCCATGGCATCTAATCTATCTAATCGCACTTCTGACGTTTTGGAGGTCCTTGTTTGCTCTGCTCCTTTTTTGTATTTTAATGGACCTTTTGAGCTTGAATACTGTTCGTTATCTCCATATATTTCACTGTAGGAATTCAATTCTCGTGAAAAAACATGTGCCACTGATCAAAATGATAGATAAATGATATATGAAATAAAATTTTAAAAATAATACATTTAAATGATGTGCATATCCAGTTTTTCTTTCTTTATATTGAATCTGTACAATCCTGAAAATGATCCTAAACTATATACTTCATGTAGGGGGAATAGTTCATAGAGCAGTAAAGAAAAATGATGCATGATTTCCAAATCATCCTGTTCTTAACAAAAAGTAATTCCAAAGTAATAAGTAATTTTCTTCTTGAAAATAGAAGTAAAAACGAAACATGAATGCATAATCCTTTGTCTCTATGTAAGTTTTAGATTACAATAAACGTACAAAAATTTGGTCAAAGATTAACGCCTTTAAATCAAAGTCTCTTATTATTACAAACATTTATAATAATAAATATCTTGCTGTTAGTCTTATTAGTTCCTTTGTCCTTTCACTTTTTATGTACAGTGTATTTTTCTTATTTTTTTCTGCTTATTGTCGTGTCCTATGCCAATCTTCTTTGGGGGAATGGCTTCTCTCCTTTATGATACTTTTTTGAACGTGTATATGATACAATAAATCTCTATCGAATAGATAAAGGTTTATGAACCATACTAATTTTGAGTTTCCTTATCAATATATTATAATATAATTATACATGTATATATATAATTATAATAATATTCCGTGTATTTTTTTAAGCTTCAGATAAAAAAAATCATATTTGACATTTAATTGGAAGATAACCTTTGCTTCAATTGAATGGGTTTTGATATGCAGTATTTTGCTTAACATGCATCAAGTTGGAAACCAACTTTGGCTATGATCAATGTTTTCGTACAAAAAGTTGATTGAACGGGATGAGAAATGTTCGTAATTTTTTCCCAGCTACAGTAATCTGTTTGTGCTCCAATTCAATTTTATCTGAAAAAAATGGCTCCGTTGTCTTATATATAAGATCCTCATATCATTTTTATCATGGTTGTATTTCCATCATTTTTATCTTATTTTGACATATAACAGCCATGTGGTTTTACATTTAGTTAAAGTCTGAAACATTAGGTATGGTGATAACAACAGTATTCAATTAAAAAAAACTCCATGAAACAATACAAAATAAGGAACAGAGCTGACATGGACCTCCAAAACATCAGAGGTGGGATCAGATGCCATGGAGGAGTAATGTTTTAACTTTAAGTATTAAGTACGTATGTAAGCATTTGACTTCATGATAGATTGTGTTTGCTGAACAATGAAACAATATAAATCGAGAACAGAGAAAACAAAGGCCTCTAAAACATAATACAGATAAACATGCACACATTTTTTATTGTTATTTCTATGTTGTTTTCTAGCTATTACTTGTATTTCTCCATTAATACCTACTCGGTTCCGCCTCGCCAGGTTCTAAATTTACTAACAAAGTATCATCCCTTACCCCGTCACTAAAAAACTATGCAACTAATATTACATGCCCTGCCTCACTTAATTTTTCTAATTTTTAATATATATTAAATAAATATTGGTTTAAGCATTGTTTTGAGTTTACAGAATGTTTTTTAAAGCACCCCTTTTCCAGACGTTCAAAAATTACTTTGATTATAAACACACTAGTCTATTAGTATACTCAAGTATGAATGTTAATTTGCCAGTTACGTCTGTTTTAAATGTGTTTAAAAATTATATGAATTTTTTCAAAAATATATGAATTTATTCAAAAAAGCGCCGTGTCCATCAACATTTTAGTTGATTAAGATCTAGAGAATTAATATTTCATAGCATAAAATTGCCAAGATAAGTATTTCCACTCATTTCAGCTATTAATCGATATCAATATCTGTGGTCCAATAAGAATAATTTACTAAGTTATTTCGCTATATATAAATCAATCTCTCATTTTTCATTTTGATATGAACACATTGATGAGGAAGTCAGATTATCTAGAGTTCTGATAGCAACGAAGAAAAGGTGACAATAGTGCTTTTCCACACAGATTGAAGATTTCTGTCGATTGTTGTCTTTTCTGGAGGTAATTTTATTGAGATTGATAGAATTTATGTGTCAGGTCACTACAACTATGTTGTCGTACATGTATATGTTAGATTTGAACACGGTATTCTTTCTCAAACGAAAAAATACAATACATATATTAATAAATATTGTTTTTAAATTTTCATTTGATTTAAATTCATTATCAATTCTGAGGGAAAAAAAGTGCAAAAGAGCAAAGTAAAATCTAATTTGATATTCCTCGTTCAAAACACTGACATATGTTTACATTGCATAAAATTTATAGAGATTACTATATTGCATGAAAGATATAGAGATAACAAAAAATCAGATGTAGAGTCATTTGTCATGGAAGAGTGAGTATTCCCTGCGAGTAAATCTGCACAGTCTCT